ATTCCAAAATCATGGGCATTAATATGGAGTTGGTCCCCCTTTTGCTGCTATAACATCCTCCACTCTTCTGGGAAGGCTTTCCACAAGATGTTGGAACATTGCTGCGGCGACTTGCTTACATTCAGCCACGAGCATTGGGCACTGATGTTGGGTAATTAGGCCTGGCTCGCAGTCAGCGTTCCAATTCATCTCAAAGGTGTTCAATGGGGTTGAGGTCAGGGCTCTGTGCAGGCCAGTCAAGTTCTTCCACACCAATCTCGACAAACCATTTCTGTATGGACCTCACTTTGTGCCCGAGTGCATTGTCATGCTGAAAGAGGAAAGGGCCTTCCCCAAACTGTTGCCACAAAGTTGAAGCATAGAATTATCTAGAATGTCATTGTATGCTGTAGCATTAAGATTTCTCTTCACTGTAACTAAGGGGCCTAGGCCAAACCATAAAAACAGCCCCAGACCATTATTCCTCCTCCACCAAACTTTACAATTGGCTCTATGCATTGGGGCAGGTAGAGTGCTCCTGGCATCTGCAAAATCTAGATTATTCCATCGGACTGCCAGATGATGAAGCGTGATTAATCACGCCAGAGAACGCGTTTCCACTGCTCCAGAGTCCAATGGCGGTGAGCTTTACACCACTGCAGCCGACACTTAGCATTGCGCATGGTGATCTTAGGCTTGTGTGTGGCTGCTCGGCCATGGAAACCCATTTCATGAAGCTTCCAATGAACAGTTCTTGTGCTGACGTTGCTTCCAGAGGCAGTTTGGAACTCGATAGTGAGTGTTGCATCCAATGACAGACAATTTTTACGCTCTATGCGCTTCAGCACTCAGCGGTCCTGTTCTATGAGCTTGTGTGGCCTACCACTTCACGGCTGAGCCGTTGTTACTCCTAGACGTTTCCACTTCACAATAACAGCACATACAGTTGACCGGGGCAGCTCTAGCAGGGCAGAAATGTGACAAACTGACTTGTTGGAAAGGTGGCATCCTATGACGGTGCCATGTTGAGCTCTTCAGTAAGGCCATTCTACTGCCAATGTTTGTCTATGGAGATTGCATGGCTGTGTGCTGTATATCTGTCAGCAAAGGGTGTTGCTCAAATTGCCAAATCCACTAATTTGAAGGGGTGTCCACATACTTTTGTATATATAGTGTATCATCATGATGAGGTTACAATGAGCTTTGCGAAGGAGGAGGACACACCTACTTCTCTGGCAGAGGTTTGTAGAGGTGTGTAGAAGAGCGTGCTGCAACAACGGTAGTAAAAACCACATTCTTCATTCTTTAGACTCTTGCCTGAAGAGTTTCAAAGCATAGTTAAAATGCCACAGTTAGGCAACTATTTATTAATGTATGGCATGATTCCTCCCTGTTTTTCCTCAGAGATGCTGACTGCAGTTCTCACCACCCAAACAAGCCATGTTTGCGATCATGTCATACAGTTGTTTGAGATGTTAGAGATGGTGAAAAGACAGCGTAGGGACCAGGAAGTCAGGGACCAGGAAGATCTCTAGTTTTATCTTATCTTGATTATTGTCCAGTCATATGGTCAAGTGCTGCAAAGAAATACCTAGTTAAGCTGCAGCTGGCCCAGAACTGAGCGGCACGTCTTGATCGTCATTGTAAGCAGAGGGCTAATATTAATGCCAGTTTCTGTTGGCTAAGGGTTGAGGAAAGACTGACTGCGTAACTTCTTGTTTTTATAAGAAACAATGTGTTGGAAATTCCAAATTGTTTGCATAGTCAACTTACACACAGCACTGACACACACACTTACCCCACCAGACATGCCACCAGGGGTCTTTTCACAGTCCCCAGGTCCAGAACAAATTCAAGGAAACGTACAGTATTATACAGAGCCATGAGTGCATGGAACTCCCTTCCATCTTATATAGCGCAAGTGAACAGCAAACCTGGTTTCAAAAAACAAATAAAGCAACACCTCACGGCACAATGGCTCTCCCACATGTGACCTACTTGTTGTGTTTATGTACTGACATGTATGTGTAACTGATAGATGCACACACACTACATGTTAATGTTTTTAAATGTATGCAAATTTTGTCTGTATTTTGTCTGTAATGTCTTTTTCGCTATATGTCGAACCCTAGTAAGACTAGTTGTCGCCATTGGTGCCGGCTAATGGGGATCCTAATAAATCTAATCAAATTAAAAAAAACTCCCAATAGACATGGATTGGATTGTCTATTGGATTCACCAGAGCCCCCGCTGCTCAGCCGCTGTCCAATGAGGTGCTCAGTCAGTCACAGAGCAGGGATCTAAAGTGGGTTATCCAGCTTGCTGCACACAATGCACCCAGCCGACTGGAACCACATTGGGACAGAATCAGCAAGGTTTACCTAGGGCCAGTGGGGACTCTCTCTGTATCTCTCTCTCTCTGAATCTCTGTATCTCTCTATCTCTCTCTCTCGCTCGCTCTCTCTCTCTCTCTGTCTCTGTCTGCCTGTCGGTCGGTCAGTCTGTGTATACATGTATATCTCCCCCGCACAAACACATACTCTCTCTCGCTCTCTCTCTCTCTCTCTCTCTCTCTCTCTCTCTCTCTCTCTCTCTCTCTCTCTCTCTCTCTCTCTCTCTCTCTCTCTCTCTCTCTCTCTCTCTCTCTCTCTCTCTCTCTCTGTCACACTGTATCTGTTCGCTTCAATTAAAGGTCCTCTTTGTGCTTTAGCCACTGCCTGGAATCCCTGTTTCCAGATGGGGAACATACTGACAGGGCATGCATGTGGTCGTTGACCATTTTGGCCAAGAGACAAAACATTTCTCACACATATCTCACATAGTCCGTCAGTGACAACCACAATGTTCTCTTATAGAATATGGGAAAATAACTTTAATCATTCAAAGTTTTTGTGGAAATATATTGACATCCAAGTTGAACTGTCAGAGTCATGTACACTATGTCACTGTGTTTGAGTAGTGTCTGAGGTATAGAGGATGTATTCATTGGTGTTGATGCTGTACATGAGCTCACTCTCAGGCACTCTTTAGGCAAGCGCTACCTAGCTTAACACAGACATGATAAATGGCTATAGATAGATCCACCAGTGTGACCACAACTCATAAGAGGATCATCACCTCGTCACATCCTGTTCTAAGATATCTGCCTGCCACTTGTCTAACGTGTGAATTAGACTCAAGACTGCATCCCAAATGGCATCCTATTTCCTATGTAGTGCACTACTTTTGACCAGAGCCCATAGGGAATAGCCTGGTCAAAAGTAGTGCACTACACAGGGAATATGGTGTAATTTGGAGCCTTTGGCCCTCTCACAGCCCTGTTTTAGTGTGTGGATGTGATGTGACTCACTGACCAGTTAGAAGGCATGCTGAACCATGATAATACTTAAGTAACTATACTATCGTATCTTTGCTGTCTAGTAGTATGGAGCAAAATATTGCAATTACAGAAGTGTGAGCCCTATTTCTCTATTTGTTTGGAAGTGTAAAGTTCACCTGGCCTGTGTTAGGTTAGGCCTTGTATGGTATGTGCATTTAACCTGATTGTGGTGTCACCACCCTACTAAGCAAATTATCTTTGTTGTTCCGCAGCATAAAATGCTCAGACCCCTTGGTTGGAATAAAGTTTATAAAATCTCTTTATGGTGGCTCACCTAGCATATGTGAAGAGTAACATTAGATCACATTCTTTATCACTGTCTCCAAGTAAGAAAAATGCATTATTGGGAAATGCTAAATCCTAACCCATTAATTATTTCTGTGCTTGTCAATTGTTCACGTTTTAAATGTTAGTCATTTAGCAGACGCTCTTATCCAGAGCGACTTATAGTTTTGTAAGACAATAGTCATAGTAAGTAAAACCTTTCCTCAATAAAGCAGCTATCAGCCAAGTCAGTGCTAGTAAGACAAGACAAGAAAGGCAAGGGTGTTAGTTTAAAAAACATACATTGCCAGTGTTTCTATTCTTACTCAGTGTCTCTGTTCAGTGTAGGCTCTGTTATAGAGCTTGTAGATGGTGTCGTGACGTGACTGTTGTTTTGTTGTCCTGAGAGGCCTTAGTAGTGGTTTGATATCCCTCACACTCATCTCAATAGGCCCCACTCTACTGTGTGTTCTCTATAAGGAGCCACTGCACTGACATGTCTGCACTTTAGACCAGTAATCTGAACATATTGTCATGCTGCTACTTGTCCAGATTGGTGATCACTGATACAGTCACACACAGCCAGATCCCTGTCTCTAGTTAAAGGATCTTCAGTACTATTGGGTAATGTAAGGCCGCTGAAAGTCTTACCTAGCTTTACAATAGAACAATGAGCATACTTCGGGCTGCTGTATGTATGAATTGTGATTTATACTAGCTAGGTCGTCTAAAAATGGAGTTGATTATTATTATTATTATTATTATCATTGTCATTATAGTTAGACCTAAAGTTCACATGGTGGAAGAATACTTTGTTTATGTTTCACTATGAATGCCTTAGGTGTTATGCCTTGATGGATGTGTTTGAATGTCTCTGCCAATCGATCACTCTGACATCTTTACTATTACAAGACCTGACACTGCGTAATACTGCATTATTGTTGGTATTAGGAATTTGTTGTTATTCCTGGTACAACGGTAGTATCCTAGGAACAAGGACAACACACACACACATAAAAGCTGAGCACTTCATATCACATATCACAGACGAAGAAGGTGTGGTGTTTTTTTGTCATTCAATTCATCTCCCTGTCTTACACAACCCTGAACCTGGCTGCTGCAGCATATTTGTGGTGGAGGAGAGTATTTTATTTATGATGGGAGGTGTGAGTGGGGAGGTTATGAGATGGCGAGAGAGAAGAGAGAGAGTACTCGAGGAGCGCGGAAGAGGAGAGAAGTAGATAGCGAGATAGAGCTCTCTCTCATACTCTATCTCTCTCTATCTTCTCTCTCTCTACTCTCTCTCTCTCTATACTCTCTCTCTCTCTCTCTCCTCTTCCCTCTCTCCCTCTCTCCCTCTCTCCCTCTCTCTGCAGGTTGGAGCATCCCCCGATCCCTATCCTTTAATGTGGGGACGGCAGGAGCCAAGGTGTTCTCTGGACCTGCCGTAGAGGAGTTTGGATACACTGTGAAACAGTTCAGAAATCACCTGGGGAAATGGTGAGACTAGACTACTGAGTCATGCATAGGCTGCCATACAGAAGCAGTACAGAGTGGTAGAAAGTGCTAGACAGTGTTAGTTCTGACATGGTAAGAACAGCATCTCAGCACATTCACAGATGCACACTTGTACTACACTGTGCTTATGTACAGTTACTACAGTAGTACTGTGTCCAATCACTCTCGCACACAGTAAGCTGTATAGAGCCCAGGAGAGCTAAAACAAGCCCTAGGTTCGTTTGGGTCTGAGAGATCCATAACTGTTGTATAGCTGCTGGATTTGGAACCCCTACTGTGAGCATCCGTTTTCTCAAGCTAATGCTGTTCCTGTTCTCACAGTAGGTCACATGACCCTCCGGAGGGTTGTCAACGGGCAGGATGCAGGCACTTCAAACACTATATTGGCACACACATACACGCACACACGCACACACACACACACGCCCACACACTCACATTATACAGTTATCTGCTGATCACCACAGAGTAGACATCACAGACAGGGTTCTTGGTTTCACGTCTTGCTCACACACACACTTCCTGTAGTCCGTAGTGCCGTCTGTCTGCATCCGGGAGATCTCAGAGGAGACATTTTCCTTTTGAATGCATCTCTCCAGGGACATAACTGCCTTCCTTTCATTCTCATCATAAACAAACATGGAGACTGAGCCTGGCTTAACCTATGGCATATTAACTATGTGTGGATGGAAACATTGTTAACAAAGGAAAGGGCCCTGAAGATGTTGTTATGTCTCCACTAGACTAGATAAACATTTCATTAGAGGTTTTAGGGGGGAAATGATGGAAAAACACAAATAAATAGATGTCCCCTCTCATAAAGCACTTAGGCTGATGATGGGTTGTGTAATTGCATCAAGGACTTAAGTGGACTTCAATTGAATGTGGTTTTGACTAACCTCCTCCCCGGACTGACTCAACAGAAAGAGAGCTGGCTGGTAGACGAGACTAGGTTTTGACAAAATGACAGTAGAAAGAGGTTTACTGTTTCGTCATTTGTAATCTTGACAAATACCCCATTTGAAATGAGAGGCATAAAGACTCACAGCAGTGAATAACCCAACAGGGTCCTCTTAACCCCAGAGAAAAGAGGTGCATTGAAAGCCAGAGTGTATGACATCACAGAGATGGCCAGGTGAAAGTTCACTCCCTTTGTCTAATTGGCTGCCTCCTGTCTGAGAACGTGGGCTTTGGCTCTAACACAAAGTCAGTAAAGGCGTAGTTTTGGGATATTCAGAGAAACCACACCAAAACACGAATGCCAACCATTGGCAAACGTGTACCAAGTTCATAATGGAACTGAAATGTCTCTTTAGCTGTAACCAGTGGAATTCATGTTTATCTCTGTGGTTTAGTTTATAAACTAGGATGGCGAGGAAGTGTTTTTATCTGACCAGCCTATTTATTCTCCTGCATACTACTGATACCAAAGGTCATGCTTTGGGCTTCTATTCTGTCTTTATTAGGTTTAATATCACACCAACACACTGTGTCCTGGCCAAAAAGATATACAGTCACGACCTAAGTTATAGGCACCCTTGAAAAAGATTAGCAAAAAAGGCTGAATAAAATATAAAATACAAATACTGAGCTGTATTGTATACTCAAAATAATGGAGAGAAAAAAATAGTTTGCACCCCTAACGGTAAATAAAATCAAATAAAATTGAATATTTTTTTTATGAATCTCATCTTAAGGAACTGTATTGTGGCATTTCATGACATCCTGTTTCACTGGGGTATAAAAATGAGAACATGCATGTAAAATCCATTTGTCATCCATCACCATGGGAAAAGGCATATAACTCACAAATTTACCATGGGAAAAGGCATAGAACTCACAAATTAAAAGAGACAAATGGTTGTTGACTTTCATAAATCAGGCAATGGATACAAAAAAATTACTCAAAAACAAATATACCGCTTACCACTATTATGGCAGCAATTAGGACGTTTAAAACCACTGGAACAGTGGTAAACTTGCCTGGTAGAGGACCCAAGTGTATCTTGTCCCCACACACAGTGAGAAAGATGGTTTGGGAGGCAAAGAAAAGACCAAGGGCCACAGTTGGAGAATTACAGAACTTGGTCGCATCCTGGGGTCACCGAGTCTCCAAATCTACAATTAGACGCCACCATTTGGAAGGGTTGCCATAAAAAAAGCCTTTATTGAGGGCAACCAACAAATGTAAACGCCTGGTGTTTGCTAAACGGCATTGGCACTTGGATTTGAACCGGGTGCTTTGGTCAGATGACATGAAAATAGAGCTCTTTGGCCATGCACACCAGTGGTGGGTTTGGCCTCGAATTAAGGATGCATATGCAGAAAAGAACCTCATACCTGCTGTAAAATATGATGGTGGATCTTTGATGTTATGGACCTGTTTTGCTTCCACTGGTCCTGGGGCCCTTGTTAAGGTCAACGGCATGATGAACTCTACCAAGTACCTGGACATTTTAGCCAAAAACCTGGTTGCCTCTGCCAGGAGGCTGAAACTTGGCTGCAAGTGGTTCTTCCATCACACATCGAAATCCACAAAGAAATGGTTAATTGACCACAAAATCAACATTTGAATTGAAGAGGGCAGTTCTTAAGCGCAGACCGAAGGATATCAAGGATCTGGAAAGATTCTATATGGAGGAATCAAACATTATAGAAAAAGGCTAAGTCCCGTTATCCCTGCAAGGGGAGGGTGCACAAAGTATTCAAAACAGGGGTGCCGATCATTTTTAGATTATTTTTTTATTACCTGTTTGATAAAATATTTTTCTCTGAGCAATTGTATTAGTGGAAAATAATATACGTTTTAAATGTTTTTGGAGCATACAGTATTTAAACAATAAGGCATTAGAACCCGGGGATTATCATGTGTTATCTTCCGACTAAAGGCTGTTATTCTCCTAATTGAGGAGAATAAGAAAAATCCAAAATTTCTATTTGATACTGTCGCAAAGCTAACTAAAAAGCAGCATTCCCCAAGAGAGGATGCCTTTCACTTCAGCAGTGATGAATTCATGAACTTCTTCGACGAAAAGATCATGATCATTAGAAAGCAAATTACGGACTCCTCTTTGAATCTGCGTATTTCTACAAAGCTCAGCTGTCCTGAGTCTGCACAAAACTGCCAGGACCTAGGATCAATGGAGACACTCAAGTTTTTTAATCCTATATCTCTTGACACATTCATGAAAATAGTAATGGCCTCTAAACCTTCAAGCTGCATACTGGACCCTATTCCAACTAAATTACTGAAAGAGCTACTTCCTGTGCTTGGCCCTCTTATGTTGAACATAATAAATGGCTCCCTATCCACTGGATGTGTACCAAACTCACTAAAAGTGGCAGTAATAAAGCCTCTCTTGAAAAAGCCAAACCTTGACCCAGAAAATGTAAAATACTATCAGCCTATATCGAATCTCACATTCCTCTCAATTTTTTCTGAAAAAGCTGTTGTGCAGCAACTCACTGCCTTCATGAAGACAAATAATGTATACGAAACGCTTCAGTCTGGTTTTAGACCCCATCATAGTACTGAGACTGCACTCGTGAAGGTGGTACATGACCTCTTAATGGCGTCAGACCAAGGCTCTGCATCTGTCCTCATCGATCACCACATTGACACCATCGATCACCACATTATTTTGGAGAGATTGGAAACCTTAATTGGTCTACACGGACAAGTTCTTGCCTGGTTTAGATCTCATCTGTCGGAAAGATATCAGTTTGTCTCTGTGGATGGTTTGTCCTCAGTTGTACGTTTCGGTGTCCCTCAAGGTTCCGTTTTAGGACCACTATTGTTTCCACTATATATTCTACCTGTTGGTGATGTCATTCGGAAACACAATGTTAACTTTCATTGCTATGCGGACGACACAAAGCTGTACATTACGATGAAACATGGTGAAGCCCCAAAATTGCCTACCCTGGAAGCCTGTGTTTCAGACATAAGGAAGGAGTTTTTACTTTTAAACTCAGACAAAAAGAGATGCTAGTTCTAGGTCCCAAGAAACAAAAATATCTTCTGTTGGATCTGACAATTAATCTTGATGGTTGTACAGTCATCTAAAAAAAAACTCTCTTTTGACGAACATATCAAGAATATTTAAAGGACAGCTTTTTTCCATCTTCATAACATTGCAAAAATCAGAACATTTTTGTCCAAAAATGAAGCAGAAAAGCTAATCCATGCTTTTGTCACTTCTAGATTAGACTACTGCAGTGCTCTACTCTCCGGCTACCCGGATAAAGCACTAAATAAACTTCAGTTAGTGCTAAACACGGCTGCTAGAATCTTGACTAGAACCCAAAATATATATAGGGCGGCAGGTAACTTAGTGGTTAAGAGTGTTGTGCCAGTAACCGAAAGGTCGCTGGTTCTAATCCCTGAGCCGACTAGGTGAAAAATCTGTCGATGTGCCCTTGAGCAAGGCACTTAACCCTAATTGCTCCTGTAAGTCGCTCTGGATAAGTATGTCTGCTAAATGACTTTAATGTGAATAATATTACTCCAGTGCTAGCCTCTCTACACTGGCTTCCTGTTAAGACCAGTGCTGATTTCAAGATTTTACTGCTAACCTACAAAGCATTACATGGGCTTGCTCCTACCTACAGTGAGGGAAAAAAGTATTTGATCCCCTGCTGATTTTGTACGTTTGCCCACTGACAAAGACATGATCAGTTTATAATTTTAATGGTAGGTTTATTTGAACAGTGTGAACAACAGAAAAATCCAGAAGAACACATGTCAAAAATGTTATACATTGATTTGTATTTTAATGAGGGAAATAAGTATTAGACCCCTCTGCAAAACATGACTTAGTACTTGGTGGCAAAACCCTTGTTGGCAATCACAGAGGTCAGATGTTTCTTGTAGTTGGCCACCAGGTTTGCACACATCTCAGGAGGGATTTTGTCCCACTCCTCTTTGCAGATCTTCTCCAAGTCATTAAGGTTTCGAGGCTGACGTTTGGCAACTCAAACCTTCAGCTCCCTCCACAGATTTTATATGGGATTAAGGTCTGGAGACTGGCTAGGCCACTCCAGGACCTTAATGTGCTTCTTCTTGAGCCACTCCTTTGTTGCCTTGGCCGTGTGTTTTGGGTCATTGTCATGCTGGAATACCCATCCACGACCCATTTTCAATGCCCTGGCTGAGGGAAGGAGGTTCTCACCCAAGATTTGACAGTACATGGCGCCGTCCATCGTCCCTTTGATGCGGTGAAGTTGTCCTGTCCCCTTAGCAGAAAAACACCCCCAAAGCATAATGTTTCCACCTCCATGTTTGACGGTGGGGATGGTGTTCTTGGGGTCATAGGCAGCATTCCTCCTCCTCCAAACACGGCGAGTTGAGTTGATGCCAAAGAGCTCGATTTTGGTCTCATCTGACCACAACACTTTCACCCAGTTCTCCTCTGAATCATTCAGATGTTCATTGGCAAACCTCAGACAGGCCTGTATATGTGCTTTCTTGAGCAGGGGGACCTTGCGGGCGCTGCAGGATTTCAGTCCTTCATGGCGTAGTGTGTTACCAATTGTTTTCTTGGTGACTATGGTCCCAGCTGCCTTGAGATCATTGACAAGATCCTTCCGTGTAGTTCTGGGCTGATTCCTCACCGTTCTCATGATCATTGCAACTCCACGAGGTTAGATCTTGCATGGAGCCCCAGGCCGAGCGAGATTGACATTTTTGTGTTGTTATTCTGTCTCTCACTGTTCAAATAAACCTACCATTAAAATTATAGACTGATCATTTCTTTGTCAGTGGGCAAACATACAAAATCAGCAGGGGATCAAATACTTTTTTCCCTCACTGTATCTCTCCGATTTGGTCCTGCTGTACATACCTACTCGTACGCTATGGTCACAAGACGCAGGCCTCCTTATTGTCCCTAGGATTTCTTAACAAACAGCTGGAGGCAGGGCTTTCTCCTATAGAGCTCAATTTTTATGGAATGGTCTGCCTATCCATGTGAGAGATGTAGACTCGGTCTCAACCTTTAAGTCTTTACTGAAGACTCATCTCTTCAGTAGGTCCTATGATTGAGTGTAGTCTGGCCCAGGGGTGTGAAGATGAATGGAAAGGCACTGGAGCGACGAACCACCCTTGCTCTCTCTGCCTGGCCGGTTCCCGTCTCTCCACTGAGATTCTCTGCCTCTGACCCTATTACGGGGGCTGAGTCACTGGCTTACTAGTGCTCTTCCATGCCATCCCTAGGAGGGGTGCGTCACTTGAGTGGGTTGAGTCACTGACGTGATCTTCCTGTCCGGTTTGTCACCCCCTTGGGCGCGTGCAGTGGAGGAGATCTTCGTGGGCTGTACTCAGCCTTGTCTCAGGATAGTAGGTTGGTTGCCTGTTGATATCTCTCTGGTGGTGTAGGGGCTGTGCTTTGGCAAAGTGGGTGGGGTTATATCCTGCCTGGTTGGCCCTGTCCGGGGGTATCGTCGGACGGTACCGTCTCAGCCTCCAGTATCTATGCTGCAATAGTCTATGTGCCAGGGGGCTAGGGTCAGTCTGTTATATCTGGTGTTATTCTCCTGTCTTATCCGGTGTCCTGTGTGAATTTAAGTATGCTCCCTCTAATTCTTTCTCTCTCCCTCCCTCACCTCCCGGAGGACCTGAGCCCTAGGACCATGCCTCAGGACTACCTGGCCTGATGACTACTTGCTGTCCCCAGTCCACCTGGTCGTGCTGCTGCTCCAGTTTCAACTCTTCTGCCTGCGGCTATGGAACCCTGACCTGTTCACCAGACGTACTATCTTGTACCAGACCTGCTGTTTTCAACTCTCTCTCTCTACCGCACCTGCTATTTCAACCTCTAAATGCCCACCTATGAAAAGCCAAGTGACATTTACTCCTGATGTACTGACCTGTTGCAACCTCTACAACCACTGTGATTATTATTTGACCCTGCTGGTCATCTATGAACGTTTGAACATCTTGGAGAAAAATCTGACCTTAATGGCCATGTACTGTTATAATCTCCACCCCTCAGAGCCTGGTTCCTCTCTAGGTTTCTTCCTAGGTTTCTGCCTTTCTAGGGAGTTTTTCATAGCCACCGTGCTTCTACATCTGCATTGCTTGCTGTTTGGGGTTTTAGGCTGGGTTTCTGTATAGCACTTTGTGACATCTGCTGATGTAAAAAGGGCTTTATAAATAAATATGATTGATTGATTCTTAGGGCCGAGGTGAAGCCAAGGGCCGGGAAACAGCTTTTAGGAGGGAGTTATCACACGATAATTCCCGGGTTCGGGTGCCTTATTGCTTTTATAAAATGGTTGCCAACATATAAAAAAATGATTAATGACATTAAAAACATTATTAAAAACATTATTTTAATGAGTAAATTAGTTTTATTTCACCCTTCCACCAGATGATATAGTCCGGGGAATATCCAGTTGTTCGTTCTGAACTTGCTAACCAAACAGGCTGGTCATTAATTATATTCTCATGTTTTGACCCAGTCATTCATTGGCATGTAGCTAGCTAGCAGAGGTTCAATGATTACAAGATAACTTCAATAAATAATGATCTAATAAATAATTTATAAATAGGCAACAACCAGCTGATTGTCGAGTCAATAATGTAGTTATGGAGGATAGCCAGGATAACGTTACTTCTCCTTTGTTAGCTAGCTAGCCAACTACAGCTATCACATCAAGCAGCTGAAATGACAGCAAACTATGTGTATTTTCATTTGTTTTATCTTAATTTTTATTGCCAATTCTTTGGATATATCCATTATAATGATACTGACAAATGAATTTGCCTGGATCAGATAAGCTGTCAGTCTCGTGACGGTCTGCACGGTGGAGATCGCAAAAAAAAACTGCAACATGTTGCACAGCACAGGTCGGATATGCACACAGTGAGGCTTATTAAGCTCCGCTGTACCAAACCAAATGCTAGGCTAGTAACATGAGGAAATACTGTCTAGATGCTTTTTTCCAGGGGAGATTAAGTTTATACACTGAATAAAAATATCAACGCAACATGCAACAATTTCAAAGATTTTACTGAGTGACAGTTCATATAAGGAAATCAATCCATTTAAATAAATAAATTAGGCCGTAATCGATGGATTTCACATGACTGGGAATACAGATACCTTAAAAAAACTGTAGGTGCATGGATCAGAAAACCAGTCAGTATCTGGTGTGATCACCATTTGCATCATGCAGCGCGACACATCTCCTTCACATGGAGTTGATCAGGCTGTTGATTGTGGCCTGTGGAATGTTGTCCCACTCCTCTTCAATGGCTGTGCGAAGTTGCTGGATACTGGTGGGAACTGGAACACACTGTCGTACACGTTGATCCAGGGCTTCCCAGACTTGCTCAATGGGTGACATGTCTGGTGAGTATGCAGGCCATGGAAGAACTGGGACATTTTCAGCTTCCAGGAATTGTGTCCAGATCCTTGCGACATGGGGCCGTGCATTATCATGCTGAAACATGAGGTGATGGCAGCGGATGAATGGCACGACAATGGGCCTCAGGAGCTCGTCATGGTATCTCTGTGCATTCAAATTGCCATTGATAAAATGCAATTGTGTTCATTGTCCGTAGCTTATGCCTGCCCATACCATAACTCCACCGCCACAATGGGGCACTCTGTTCACAACGTTGACATCAGCAAACCGCTTGCCCACACAACGCCATACACAATGTCTGTCATCTTCCCAGTACAGTTGAAACTGGGATTCATCCGTGAAGAGCACACTTCTCCAGCGTGCCAGTGGTCATCGAATGTGAGCATTTTCCCACTGAAGTCAGTTATGAGACGGTTTCTGACAGTTTGTGCAGAAATTCTTCGTTTGTGCAAACCCACAGTTTCATCAGCTGTCTGGGTGGCTGGTCTCAGACCATCCCGCAGGTGAAGAAGCCGGATGTGGAGGTCCTGGGCTGGCGTGGTTACACGTGGTCTGCGAAATTCTCTAAAATGACGTTGGAGGCGGTTTATGGTAGAGAAATTAATATTCAATTCTCTGGCAACAGCTCTGGTGGACATTTCTGCAGTCAGCATGTCAATTGCATGCTCCTTTAAACTTGAGACATCTGTGGCATTGTGTTGTGTGGCAAAACTGCACATTTTATAGTGGCCTTTTATTGTCCCCAGCACAAGGTGTACCTGTGTAATGATCATGCTGTTTAATCAGCTTCTTGATATGCCACACCTGTCAGGTGGATGGATTATCTTGGCATAGGAGAAATGCTCACTAACAGGGATGTAAACAAATTTGTGCACAACATTTGAGAGAAATAAGGTTTTTGTGCGTATGGAACATTTCTGGGATCTTTTATTTTAGCTGATGAAATATGGGATCAACACTTTATATGATGCGTCTATATTTTTGTTCAGTATAAATTGACTGGCTGGGCTGTGCGACAGTGGATGCGCATTGATAAATCTAATGGAAATGTTAACAGGCATTACCCATGGAATGCGGGGATTGTGGTGCTACAACTCCCTGCTATCAACCAATCAGAATCCAGGATCCAAACAACCCATTTTATAAAGCTCAGTATTTGTATAATTTATTTTATACAGTATTTTTTGCTCATCTTTATCAAGGATCATGACTGTAGATTTAAAGCCGGTAGAATATCAAAAGGTTTATAGATCAACTACTGAGTGGTCTCTCTGTTCACACTATAGTCTAGCAAGGTGGGGCTTTTTTCAATGATGTGTAATGTGCAATGGAGTGGTCTTGGCATTTTTATGGTGTGTGTGTGTGTGTGTGTGTTAGGTCATCAGGAAAGGATAGTGTGACTTGTTTCTAATGTGGTAGGCTGGTTTGATGTCACACTGTGTAATGTAGTCGGCGTGTGTGTCCTGACTGATTGACTCACATGGCGGTAACTGGCAGTAACACCATGGATACCCAGGCCCTGAGCCACCAGCAGCAGACAACAGCACTGGCACAGGTCATTATGGCTCTCTCCTTCTCATGCAACAGGCAGAGTCTGAAAACATCCCTTCACTGTAAATGTCGCTGTACTTCCCCCTTCAGGGTTAAGGTGCTTATTATACTTTTCTCCCTAAGGTTAACTGTTAATGATGACCTTGGTAGAGTATGTGTTTACCTTCCACACCTGTAGATAACGAAAAACAGTACTTACTGATCATGTGCAAGTGGGTGTGAAATGGGTACTCTGTAAATGTCATTGTCTTGTTGTGAATGTATGGTACTGTTTCCAAATATGGGTACATATACAGTCTATGGTGTACAAGGACAGTCACATAAGTGTATTCCCTAACAATGGTATTAGCTACCAATAATTGTGTGTAATTTAGACACATGGCATTGTAATTATTATGTAATCAGTATGCAAATGCCTGTCTGTCTGTCTGTCTGCCTGTCTGTGTACATGCGTGTGTGTGTTCCCGCAGGTTGCTGGTTGGTTCTCCCTGGAGTGGATACAACCAGGACAGGAAAGGAGACATCTACAAGTGTGAGATCAGAGGGTCCAGTTCAGGCTGCCAGAGACTCAACCTGCAGAGTAAGACATACTTCATACTCTTCATACATACTTCATACTTTTCATACATGCTTCATACTCTTCATACATACTTCATACTCAACCTTTAGAGTAAGACATTGACAGATATTTATACTTTGCATACGACATTCAAACAGCTCCAGCTATTCATTAGCCTGGTCCCAGATCTGTTTGTGCTCTTGCCAACTCCATTGCTCTTATTGTCAAACCATTAAATTCCATAAAGAGTTGGCAAGAGAGTAGAAACAGACTAGCACCCAGGCTAGCAATTCCTTCTCCCTTTCTATATTTCTATCAACTCCTGCCCTTTTTGAGCAATCGTTGTATCCCCTAGCATTAGCTTGTGTTTCCCCACAATATTCTCTTTAAATCCCATTTGAATCCTGTCAAATCTGTCTGTAAGTCAGAGCGATGGCCACAGTGGTTAGAAAAGGAACTGTGTTCTTCAGAGTGTTGCAAGATCTCATTGTGTGTTTTAATGAATGTTAAGCACTGTAATTGCACCATGAGAATGTATTCGGTAACACTTATAGTGTTCTTAAAACTGTGTAATTATTTCTGTAAGGACACTGTAACAATGTATTTTCTCTCTCCTATACTTCAGACTCAGTCAGCATATCAACAGTGAAGAACGTCAATGTCAACATGAGTCTGGGGCTAACCCTCACCCGCACAGCTACAGAAGATAAATTCATGGTAAACAGTTTTTATACATCACTACATCTGTATAGAACTCCTAGCTATCCTAACCCTAACCCTAATCCTTACCCACACAGCTACAAAAGATACATTCATGGTAAACAGGTTTGGAATCATTACATCAGATTATTTACAGCCACACAAGATAGATTCATGGTTAACAGGTTTGGAATCATTATAAGTGATTCTTTACAGCCACTCAAGATAGATTCATGGTTAACAGGTTTGGAATCATTAGATCTGATTCTTTACAGCCACACAAGATAGATTAATCATGATAAACAGCTTTAACATCACTGCAGCTGGAGAGTTCATATAAGATCTTATCAGTCAATCAATCCCACATGTTTAGGGACTTGGGATTGATTGCCTAAATGTAATATTGTTTTGGATGTTTTACCTTATATCTTGTGTCTTCTTCTCCTGGTAGACATGTGGACCTCTGTGGGCTCAGAAGTGTGGCAGTCAGTATTATTACCCAGGGATCTGTGCAGAAGTTAGCCCTCTCTTCAGCCCCCTGTCTTCATTCTCACCTGCCCTTCAAAGTAAGAGTCCTTCATCATTTTAAATATCCTTAGCATAAGAGTTACAGTGGGGAAAAAAGGATTTAGTCAGCCACCAACTGTGCAAGTTCTCCCACTTAAAAAGATGAGAGAGGCCTGTAATTTTCATCATAGGTACACGTCAACTATGACAGGCAAATTGAGAAGAAAAAAATCCAGAAAATCACATTGTAGGATTTTAAATGAATGTATTTGCATATTATGGTGGAAAATAAGTATTTGGTCACCTACAAACAAGCAAGATTTCTGGCTCTCACAGACCTGTAACTTCTTCTTTCAGAGGCTCCTCTGTCCTCCACTAGTTACATGTATTAATGGCACCTGTTTGAACTTGTTATCAGTATAAAAGACACCTGTCCACAACCTCAAACAGTCACACTCCAAACTCCACTATGGCCAAGACCAAAGAGCTGTCAAAGGACACCAGAAACAAAATTGTAGACCTGCACCAGGCTGGGAAGACTGAATCTGCAATAGGTAAGCAGCTTGGTTTGAAGAAATCAACTGTGGGAGCAATTATTAGGAAATGGAAGACATACAAGACCACTGATAATCTCCCTCGATCTGGGGCTCCACGCAAGATCTCACCCCGTGGGGTCAAAATGATCACAAGAACGGTGAGCAAAAATCCCAGAACCACACGGGGGGACCTAGTGAATGACCTGCAGAGAGCTGGGACCAAAGTAACAAAGCCTACCATCAGTAACACACTACGCCGCCAGGGACTCAAATCCTGCAGTGCCAGACGTGTCCCCCTGCTTAAGCCAGTACATGTCCAGGCCCGTCTAAAGTTTGCTAGAGTGCATTTGGATGATCCAGAAGAGGATTGGGAGAATGTCATATGGTCAGATGAAACCAAAATATAACTTTTTGGTAAAAACTCAACTCGTCGTGTTTGGAGGACAAAGAATGCTGAGTTGCATCCAAAGAACACCATACCTACTGTGAAGCATGGGGGTGGAAACATCATGCTTTGGGGCTGTTTTTCTGCAAAGGGACCAGGACGACTGATCCGTGTAAAGGAAAGAATGAATGGGGCCATGTATCGTGAGATTTTGAGTGAAAACCTCCTTCCATCAGCAAGGGCATTGAAGATGAAACGTGGCTGGGTCTTTCAGCATGACAATGATCCCAAACACACTGCCCGGGCAACGAAGGAGTGGCTTCGTAAGGAGCATTTCAAGGTCCTGGAGTGGCCTAGCCAGTCTCCAGATCTCAACCCCATAGAAAATCTTTGGAGGGAGTTGAAAGTCTGTGTTGTCCAGCGACAGCACCAAAACATCACTGCTCTAGAGGAGATCTGCATGGAGGAATGGGCCAAAAAACCAGCAACAGTGTGTGAAAACCTTGTGAAGACTTACAAAAAACGTTTGACCTGTGTCATTGCCAACAAAGGGTATATAACAAAGTATTGAGAAACGTTTGTTATTGACCAAATACTTATTTTCCACCATAATTTGCAAATAAATTCATTAAAAATCCTACAATGTGATTTTCTGGATTTTTTTTCCTCATTTTGTCTGTCATAGTTGACGTGTACCTATGATGAAAATTACAGGCCTCTCTCATCTTTTTAAGTGGGAGAACTTGCACAATTGGTGGCTGACTAAATACTTTTTTTCCCCACTGTATGTATTGTTTTCACCATTGATTAAAAGTATAAATTAAAGCTAGAATCCTTATTTGAAACAATAACAAAGCATGCTCCCCATCCCTGTTTTGCTAAAAAAGCTAAGGGATGGGGCTGGAGAAATGTAACCACTCTCAAATTCATAGACAGAGCTGTGGATGCAAAGACTGTGTCACGATCGTCATTTGAAGAAACGGGCCAATGCGCAGCGTGGAATGCGAACATCTTTTATTTATATTTCACCACACGAACAACAACGATACGTGAAGTCCTTGGGTTCATACACAAACCAACACGGAACAAGATCCCACAATACACTGTGCCAAACAGGCTGCTGATTCTCGTTGCCTCTGATTGAGAACCACCCCGGCCAACATAGATACACATGAACTAGATCCTAACATAGAAACACAAACACATAGAATCTACACACCCTGGCTCAACATATAAGAGTCCCAGAGCCAGGGCGTGACAGTACCCCCCCCCCCCCCCCAAAGGCGCGGACTGCGACCGCGCCAAACATAAACCGAACAGGGGAGGGCCGGGTGGGCATTCCTCCTCGGAGGCGGATCCGGCTCCGGGCGTGACCACCACCCTCTAATAACCCCCCCGTAGTGCCCCTGGTCTGGTCTGGCCCCGCTGGCTGGAGCTGGACTGGACATCGGTAGAGCGGATTGCTTAGGCTCCGGTGTGGAGCAGCTGACCGGTACCTGACCAGGCACCGGCGAACCGGGAACGGGCTGTGCCGGACTGATGACACGAACCCCAGGCTTGGTGCGGGAAGCAGGAATGGGCCGGACCGGGCTGACGACGCGCACCCCTGGCTTGGTGCGGGGAGCAGGAACGGGCCGGACCGGGCTGACGAAGCGCACCATAGGCTTGGTGCGGGGAGCAGGAACAGGCCGGGCCGGGCTGGCGACGCGCACCATTGGCTTGGTGCGAGGGGCAGGAACAGGCCGGGCCGGGCTGGCGACGCGCACCATTGGCTTGGTGCGAGGGGCAGGAACAGGCCGGGCCGGGCTGGCGACGCGCACCATTGGCTTGGTGCGAGGGGCAGGAACAGGCCGGGCCGGGCTGGCGACGCGCACCATTGGCTTGGTGCGAGGGGCAGGAACAGGCCGGGTCGGGCTGGCGACGCGCACCATTGGCTTGGTGCGAGGGGCAGGAACAGGCCGGACCGGGCTGGCGACGCGCATCACAGGCTTGGTGCGAGGGACAGGAACAGGCCGGACCGCACTGGGAACACACACCACTGGCCTTATACGGGGATCAGGAACGGGCCGGACCGGACTGGCAACACACTTCAGTACCTCTCGCCGTGCCTCTACACCTTCCCTCCCTCTCATCACCAATGGCTCCCGTAACCCGGTGGCCTTCTCTCCTCGTCCACAAACTCGCCCCTTATCTGCCTCCAGCAGCCACGTCGTCCATGCCATGTGCCCCCCCCCCCCTAAAAATGTATTGGGGTTGCCTCTCGCCTGTCCAACGACGACACTGTTGGCGCCGTACCTCCTCTCTCGCCAAAGCTTTAACCTTTGCCCATGGTCCTCTGCCCTCGAACATGTCCTCCCAGGACCACCATTGGCCCACCTGGGCCATCGCCAACTTCTCCATCTCCTTACCCGGCGTTAGCTCCGAAACACGCTGATTGGTCCAGTATTGGTGGTATCTTCTGTCACGATCGTCATTTGAAGAAACGGGCCAATGCGCAGCGTGGAATGCGAACATCTTTTATTTATATTTCACCACACGAACAAAAACAACAAAACGATACGTGAAGTCCTTGGGTACATACACAAACCAACACGGAACAAGATCCCACAATACACTGTGCCAAACAGGCTGCCTAAGTATGGTACCCAATCAGAGACAACAAGCAATAGCTGATTCTCGTTGCCTCTGATTGAGAACCACCCCGGCCAACATAGATACACATGAACTAGATCCTAACATAGAAACACAAACACATAGAATCTACACACCCTCAACATATAAGAGTCCCAGAGCCAGGGCGTGACAGACTGACCATCCATGATATTACATTTACATTTGTAACCACGTTTTGAGGCTATATAGAGTTAGTTTACATTTATGTTGTTTACAAATGTACACATTGGCATAAAACAAGCTTATATTTTGTGTTCTGATGGGGTACAACAGTTGAACTAAGCTCATGAGGCATTTCAAAGTTATATTCTTCAAGAACCAATGGGTTTACAGCTGTATATTAATTTATAATTCAAAAAATGGATGTAGAAACTAAGGATTCTAGCTAAGTCCTACTGTATATCATATTTAACACCCCTTTGTGATTGGAGTTATGAATGATTACCATAGAAAATGCACGTGCTGACATTAATTCAATTCTTATCTTGTCTTTCCAGCTTGTGGGGGTCCGATGGATATTGCTATTATTGTGGATGGATCCAACAGTATATATCCCTGGCCACCAGTTGTGGCTTTCCTCAAGAAACTGTTGGAGAATTTAGATATTGGACCGGATAATACTCAGGTAAGTGTGCTCACAGTTATCAATGTATATCAATTGCCAATTGTCAAGGTTGTTGACAATGCGTCTTTTAAAGACAATGTAGGTGTCTCATTCACGGTAAACACTGTATATATCAGCTCAGTCGGAAATTGCCTTTAAATGCTACATTGTTGACAACCCGCAGTCGGATTGAATCTCGGCCCAAGTAAATGATCTGTCCCTATCTGTTTTTGTTGCCTTTATGTTAATGCTTTCAGGCAAGTATTATACAGTACGGGGTTGATCCATTCGTTGAATTCAATCTGAACACCTACAAAACCAAAGACTCGATCATTGCGGCTGCAGCGAACATTCCCCAGAGGGAAGGCCTGGAGACCAACACCTTCCGGGCCATTGAATTTGCCAGGTGCGTCTCAGTCTACAACACTTTCTATTCTTGCAGTGCCAACATAGTCTAAGGCTGCATCCCAAATGGCACCATATTCCCTACATAGTGCACTACTTTTGGCCAGAAGTAGTGCACTATGTAAGGAAAAGGGTGCCATTAGGGATGCAAGCCTAAGGCATTTCCTCCTGTTCACTGCTAGTCAATGGGTCCTTAGGACTTACAGATGTAGAACATTTGATCACTCTTTTGTTGCTGTGAATTTTCCTGTACAGCAGGAAATGCAAACTTGTAGTGTATTCGAGGTTTAAAACGGCTTCTAAACGTAGTGATTTCCACTTTAAAATGTCAGACTTGATTTGTCCTAACGAAAAATGTATCAAGCCCTACAAAAAATTTAATTATAAGCCACATTTCCTGTTACTGCAGGATTATTTGCTGTAGCAAAGTGGCTCAAATTAAGATCCTACATTTGTAGGTGACCGTGACCCTCATGTATTCTAAATAAATATATCCTGACTCTGTTGACTCAACATATTTATAAAAAAGAACAAAAGGATCAGAATCTCTCTTTATATATTGAAAACCCCCCAAAGGGGGTTAGAATGGAACACTTTGAATGGAATAGAATGGAATACAACACAATGAAATGTGTTCAGAACAAACGTTTTAGAAGCTATTTATTTACATGGGTATTGAATCGGGTTTGAATATGTTGAGATGTGACACTTTTTGACCGTGTGTCTCAGACAGCAGGCGTTCCTGCCTAGGAACGGGGCTCGACCCGGTGCCAGCAAGGTGATGGTGGTGGTGACGGACGGAGAATCTCACGACAAGAACCTCCGAGATGACGTCATCAGGAAGTGTGAGAGTGAGAAGATCACCCGCTTTGGTATTGCTGTGAGTAAATATCCCACTTAACCTTTATTCATCCAGGTTAGTCTCGTTGACATAAAATCTCTTTAGCAAAAGACACCTGGATATACAGTACGTACAGTGTTGAGTGTGAGGTATTAACATTTACTGTTTGAGACCTTTGATACCTTTATAACATGACATTATTATGTTATAACAATCTTCCCTTTTATTCTAATATAAATTATTTTAAAATGTATTCTTTATTATGTTTCTAGGTCCTTGGGTATTACATAAGGAATGACATTGACACTAAGAACCTGATTGCTGAGATCAAGTCCATAGCCAGTACCCCGACAGATAGGTATTTCTTCAATGTATCAGCTGAGGAGGCTCTGCTCGAGATCGCTGGATCTCTGGGAGACCGCATCTTCAACATTGAGGGTAAAATATATATATATATATTTTTAAAGTAATGCTGACTTAGTAAAGAAAGCAAATCTACATTGAAGATGGAATATCATGGTCCATTCTAACAATAATTAGTTACCTTTTACAAAGCTAGAAATAGTAACACAACCACTGTATTGCACTTAACCTAACCTGTTCATTGTGTTTTCTGGTGGTTAGGTACTGGGAAAGGTGGTGACTTTCAGATGGAGATGTCCCAAGTGGGATTCAGTGCCCACCAAACCAAGAAGCAGGTATGGGCTAAGAATACCGTCGTACAAACCCCAACTGTTACTTTAAATCGGCTTATTTGGTAACATTTTATTTTACGGGTGTCTACACATTCATAACACATTCATAACACATTCATAAGCAGTACATGAACATTTCTTAGTGTGTTTTAACAGGTACTTTTCTCGCTTTCATTACAGAACATGATTATGCTGGGTGCAGTGGGGGCCTATGGCTGGAGTGGTACTGTGGTTCACTACACTACCCAGAAATCAGACATCTTCCCCAAGACGGCCTTTGAGAAAATCCTAGAGGACAGAAACCACAGCTCACTATTAGGTAAATGAGTTTGCAATCATCTACGAGTCAATATTGATTCCTTTATCTTCATTTTATGTTGTGCTATTGTATTATTATTTCATCAACACCAAGCCATCCTAAGGCCTCTTGCTTTTCCATTTCTAACTTCATTTGAATGTGTATTGAAGCTCAAACAATAGATATCTTGATTTACAGTGTGACTGGCAGTAAGACTACTAGCACTGGAAATTGTTACACATTTGTCAATAATATCCTGTTTGGCTGTTCTGCTCAGGCTACTCTGTGACAACGCTGAATGATGGGAGCATAGAGTACTATGTGGCTGGCGCTCCTCGGTCTAACCACACTGGACAGGTCATAGTGTACACCATCAACAGCAAGGGACAACCCACCGTCATAGACTCCCAGAGAGGAGACCAGGTAATGCTCTCTGATTCAAATGGAAGAGAAGAGCGGTTGACAATGTTGACAGTTCTGTAAGTTGCTTTGGATAGAAGTGTTTGCTAAATTAACCATATTGAAAAGAAGAATATGTAAATTGGTGTGGTGGTAGATGTTATGGCTCTATACTATATCTATCTATCTATCTATCTATCTATCTATCTATCTATCTATCTATCTATCTATCTATCTATCTATCTATCTATCTATCTATCTATCTATCTATCTATCTATCTATCTATCTATCTATCTATCTATCTATCTATCTATCTATTCTATATATCTATCTCTCTCTAATGATCTATCATATCTGACTTGTCCGATTTGTTCCCATCTGCTTTGTAAATGGCGTTATCCTTTGTTTCTGCTCATTGATTCTAAATATATTTTCTTCTTACTAGTTTGCTGTATGTGCTTTCGATTCTGTAGATAGGCTCCTACTACGGCAGCGTACTCTGTCCTCTGGATGTGGATAAAGATGGCGTGTCTGATCTACTACTGGTCGGAGCTCCCATGTTCATGAACGAACAGAAGAAGGAGAATGGAAAAGTGCATCTCCTGTCTTTCACTAAGGTAAGCCACACATACTGTACTGTATACAAAATCAGCCAGACACATCTTCCTAAAGCTTTTTATCTTTTTTGAGTGCAGACCCACTACTGTACATTTCATCTAATGGTTTAATTTTGGTGTACACACGGTATGCTCTGAGCACAGTGGGTTTCAAGACCTTTTGAAAGTCACATCTTCCTAAAGTACACTAATTTAAAGTAAACAACTTCATTGTTTGTTTTCCATTGGTGTTTCTAGGGCATCCTAAGTGACCAGGGGTTCCTGAAGGGTCCGTCCCAAGTGGAGAACGCTCGTTTTGGGATGTCTATCTCAGCGGTGCCTGACCTCAACATGGATGGCTACGGTGATGTGGTGGTGGGAGCCCCACTGGAAGACAACAATAAAGGTGTAATCTATGTCTTCAACGGGGACAAGAAGAGACTCAGGACACAGTACTCCCAGGTACAGCAGGTTGCAGATTGTGCTCAATGCTAACACTCAACGCAGCCTTATCCTAACTCTTGTCACTCGCTAGCACAGGGATGGGCAAACTACGGCCCATTCAATCCGGCCCACAGGAGTTTTTTTTAGTTTTTTTTTTTTGACTCCAGGCCACAGTTGAACGTCTAAAATAGATAGAAAGTATAAATTATAATAGATCTATATATTTGTTATAACTGAAATTTGTCTGGCCTGCAAATAAATTATCTGTGCGGCCTTCTATTGAATTTCTAAATCTCGATGTGGCCTTCGAGCCAAAAAGTTTGCCCACTCCTGCGCTACCAGCATGTCTCAATTTAACCTGTTGTGCCTGCATATAATTATCTGATGCTTTGGGATTCAATAGAAGTGTTTCTCTAGAAGTGTTTCTCAGTCTGTTGGAATTCAGCCAATGTGAGCATTTGATGTGAGATCAAGTTGTAAGATCATGTTTTATCCTGTTAATTTCAGAAAATCCTAGGCTCCAAGCTGGACCCTACGTTGCAGTACTTCGGGCGGTCCATAGACGCCAGCTCCGACTTAAACGATGACACCATACCAGATGTCTCAGTGGGGGCTTACGGAAAGGTGGTCCAACTCTGGTGAGACTCGCTCCCTCGTTTCTTTCTCTTTTTTATATATTTTATTTTTCTTAACCCAGCTCGACCCCTCCTCTTCGGAGGACAACTATATAATTTTGTTTCCCTCAATTCACACACGTCTCACAAGTTATCTACTCGAATTACAGTGTTTACTTTAAACACTTGATACCAGCAAATTGGAACAGCTGTTTACGATGACCCAAAACTGAACAAATGAAATTACAGTAGGCTCTGAATGAAACATCTTATACTTACTGTATCTCCTCAAGTTTTTGTTGACTAAATGAGATGTGCTGTCTCATGGAAAGCCTTCTCTTACGTAACTGTGGGAAAGCATTTAATCTTGTCACCTCCCACTCCATCTAGAGAGCAGAACAGCTGGGTGGATTTGGTTTAAAGAGGTTATGCTGACCATTCCCATCTGGGTCTGACACTGCTAGTAACCACTTCTACGTAGTTCCTGATGTCACTTATATAATCAATACATGAATCAATCAATCAACCAATCTGAAGTTGACTCATACAGTAGTTGCCTTGTGATTAAAGCGTCTCTCAGTAGATGTAGTCATTCAAACATATAAAAGCTAGTTAGCTTGATATATGATTATGACACACTGATTATGACCTCTCCCAGGTCTCGTGGTATGGCTGTGGTGACAGCGAGGGCAACCTTCAACCCTGACATGGTCAGCATCCTGAGTAAGACGTGCGGGGTCAGTGGAAGGCTGGTGTCCTGCTTCAACACATCAGTCTGTTTCAGCGCCACCTTCAGGCCCAAGATACCTGTAGGACCTGTGGGTAAGCCCTGCTTTCTTCTCTCTCTCTCTCTCTCTCTCTCTCTCTCTCTCTCTCTCTCTCTCTCTCTCTCTCTCTCTCTCTCTCTCTCTCTCTCTCTCTCTCTCTCTCTCTCTCTCTCTCCCTGTTTCTCTTCCTCTTCCCCTCTCTCCCTCTTCACAGTGTCACTGTCAAATATGACAGGGGCTTTTCACATCCTAGCAATGGTCGTATCTCCCTCTAATTGTCTCTTGTTGCCTCTGTTACTTCTCACCTCAGCTGTCAGGTACAACCTGACCCTGGATGCTGAGCTCCAGTCGTCTCGTGTCACCTCCAGAGGTCAGTTCAGGAACTCAGAGAGAGTCATGCAGAAAGACATCAGGGTTTCCTCCGGGGAGGTCTGTGAGACCCTAGAGGTCTTTGTTCAGGTAAAGATAGATAATATTAAATGGTTTGATGATGATTTGCTGATTGAAGTATGTCTGGTTTTTCTCCTTTATCAGGCCTTATTGAATTACTGTGTTAATTTATAATGGAGGAAACATCCTTTTAACCAAGAATAATGTTTACTTGTATGTACAGTTGAAGTCGGAGGTTTACATATACTTAGGTTGGAGTCATTAAAACTCGTTTTTCAACCACTTCACAAATGTCTTGTTGTGGTCCTCTGTAGCTCAGCTGGTAGAGCACGGCGCTTGTAACGCCAAGGTAGTGGGTTCGATCCCCGGGACCACCCATACACAAAAATGTATGCACGCATGACTGTAAGTCGCTTTGGATAAAAGCGTCTGCTAAATGGCATATTATTATTATTATTAACAAACTATCGTTTTGGCAAGTCGGTTAGGTCATCTACTTTGTGCATGACACAAGTAATTTTTCCAACAATTGTTTACAGACAGATTATTTCACTTAGAATTCACTGTATCACAATTCCAGTGGGTCAGAAGTTTACATACACTAAGTTGACTGTGCCTTTAAACAGCTTGGAAAATTCCAGAAAATGATGTCATGGCTTTAGAAGCTTCTGATAGGCTAATTGACATAATTTGAGTCAATTGGAGGTGTACCTGTGGATTTATTTCAAGGCCTACCTTCAAACTCAGTGCCTCTTTGCTTGACATCATTGGATAATCAAAAGAAATCAGCCAAGACCTCAAAAAAATTATTGTAGACCTCCACGAGTCTGGTTCATCCTTGGGAGCAATTTCCAAATGCCTGAAGGTACCACATTCATCTGTACAAACAATAGTACGCAAGTATAAACACCATGGCACCACGCAGCCGTCATACCGCTCAGGAAGGAGATGCGTTCTGTCTCCTAGAGATTAATGTACTTTGGTGCGAAAAGTGCAAATCAATCCCAGAACAACAGCAAAGGACCTTGTGAAGATGCTGGAGGAAACAGGTACAAAAGTATCTATATCCACAGTAAAACGAGTCCTATATCGACATAACCTGAAAGTCCTCTCAGCAAGGAAGAAGCCACTGCTCCGAAACCGCCATAAAAAAGCCAGACTACGGTTTACAACTGCACATGGGGACAAAGATCGTACTTTTGAAGAAATGTCCTCTGGTCTGATGAAACAAAAATAGAACTGTTTGGCCATAATGACCATCGTTATGTTTGGAGGAAAAAGGGGAAGGCTTGCAAGCCGATGAACACCATCCCAACCGTGAAGCAAGAGGGTGGCAGCATCATGCTGTGGGGGTGCTTTGCTGCAGGAGGGACTGGTGCACTTCACAAAATAGATGGCATCATGAGGAAGGAAAATGATGTGGATATTTTGAAGCAACATCACAAGACATCAATCAGGAAGTTAAAGCTTGGTCACAAATGGGTCTTCCAAATGGACAATGACCCCAAGCATACTTCCAAAGTTGTGGCAAAATGGCTTAAGGACAACAAAGTCAAGGTATTGGAGTGGCCATCACAAAGCCCTGACCTCAATCCTATAGAAAATGTGTGGGCAGAACTGAAAAAGTGTGTGCGAGCAAGGAGGCCTACAAACCTGACTCAGTTACACCAGCTCTGTCAGGAGGAATGGGCCAATATTCACCCAACTTATTGTGGGATGCTTGTGGAAGGCTACTCGAAACGTTTGACCCAGTTTAAACAATTTAAAGGCAATGCTACCTAATTGAGTGTATGTAAACTTCTGACCCACTGGGAATGTGATGAAAGAAATAAAAGCTGAAATAAATCATTCTCTCTACTATTATTCTGACATTTCACATTCTTAAAATAAAGTGGTGATCCTAACTGACCTAAGACAGGGAATTTTTACTAGGATTAAATGTCAGGAATTGTGAAAAACTGAGTTTAAATGTATTTGGCTAAGGTGTATGTAAACTTCCGACTTCAACTGTATGTATGTATGATGAAAAAAAACTGTGTACACTACTTTGCTGTATTATCTTGTGGTTTCCCTTTTGGACACTTATAGTTCTGATCCTGCTGATGAGAATTAGCTATGTAGTCAAATGAATTAAACTAATACAAAAAATCCTATATTTTGCTTATTGTTTGACAGGAGGCCCCTGACTTTTTGAGCTCGATCGGTCTGCGTGTGGACATCACTCTGCAGGACCCAGACTCCAGTCCTGTTCTGGATGTCCTCAGTCCCACTGCCTGGGAGTTCTTTGTGAGTTACCACTCAATTAAAATGCAATAATATGAGATGTACATTAAATGTATGTTGATGTTGCAATTGCTAGCAGTCGTGTCAGTGTCTATAGAAATGATCTGTGCTTTATGTGTTACTGATGATCCTTTTTGATGTTAATAGGAATGGAAATCTTGTAGTTTTAGACTATGATTTGATATCAAAGTGTCATGATTAGGCCTAGTCATGATCAAAGTTGAACCAGGATAGGACATGAAGCTAGGGTTAGGGTTAGGGTTAGGGTTGTGGTTGAGGCTAGGATATAGACATGAAGCTAGGGTTAGGGTAAATTCTTGTTATTTTATTATATATTGTATTACCTGGTCTTTGTTTATCAACTATTGTGCTCTTGTTATTTTATTACTATTTGTATTACTTTAATTAATCTACATTGTATATTGATAGTTTTGCTACTTTACATTTATTCTGCACTGTTGAGGAAAAGCTGCAAGTAAGCATTTAATTGTACCATTACACTTGCTGTATTCTGTGCATGTGACAAATAAACGTTGATTTTATTTTATTTGGCATGAAGGTAGGGTTAGGGTTGTGGTAGAGGCAATGGTTAGGGTTGAACCAGGACGTGGACATGAAGCTAGGGTTAGGTTTTGGGTTGTGGTTGAGGGTTAGGGTTAGGGTTGAACTGGGATGTGGACATGAAGCCAGGGTTAGCGTTACAGTTGTGGTTGAGGCTATGGTTGGGGTTGATCTGGGATGTGGACATGAAGCCAGGGTTAGCGTTACAGTTGTGGTTGAGGCTACGGTTGGGGTTGAACTGGGATGTGGACATGAAGCCAGGGTTAGCGTTACAGTTGTGGTTGAGGCTACGGTTGGGGTTGAACTGGGATGTTGAACAGTGATAAGGCTTCTCCACTTCTGAATTACCAATACCACAGAATGTAATGTGAACTCTTACAACAGATCCCATTCTCCAAAGACTGTGGCTCTGACGAGGTGTGTGAGAGTGAGCTGCTCTTGAAGTTGAAGAAAGGAGAGATGATTCCCAGGTGAAATCTGACACTCACTCAACCTAGCCTAGTAAAACCAGTCTGAACACGCCGCTCAATGTTGAGCACAGCATTCAGTCTGGTTAAACCAGGCTACTCTCAACCTACACTCTTCCTCCAAGAGCTCAGGAATAACAGACATGTCTCATATAAGTATTCCCAAATTCTATGGGACCAGACAAATAAATCCTGCTCTGTTCTGTTGGTCTGGTTTAGTGGGAAAACACTTCCTCTATTAAGCCTTGCTGGTTAAAGAAAACACATTAAAACTTGTTACATAAGTTCAATGACACAGGACGGGATTCAAACAAACCCCAATATGCCGACATTGCACTGCACTTGACTTTTAAAAGCAATTTCCCTGATGTTCGCGGAGATAGCATTTGCGGTAAACACTACAGATGTGTCTCAAACATAAATAACCTTTAACAGTCAAGTGCAATGCGATTTGTTTGAATCCCAGCCAGAGTCGTTATGATACACAGTTGACAGACAGACAGACAGACAGTGTCGTTATGACACACAGTAGACAGACAGACAAACAGACAGACAGACAGAGTCGTTATGATACACAGTTGACAGACAGACAGACAGACAGTCGTTATGACACGCAGTAGACAGACAGACACAAACGCACAGACAGCACCTCGTAAAGTGAGTGGTAAGGTCGTAAACCTTGGCCAGTCAGAATAACATATTTTATTTTCACTGCTCCAGTTAATGGTGACACCATACATGACCCATGAGATCTGTTCGTGGATTCCCAATCAAACTGTGGTGTCTTCATTCTACAGCATTGCATTTTCCCATTCACAAACAGGTATAATTATACATTAATTCTTACCCCCTCTGTATTGTTCTGAGTAAAATGAGTGTTGTGTTTTGCAGCTCGTCTAGGATGTTGGTCAGCTTTAAGGACAAGAGGCTCTCCTTTACTGTGTCTGTGACCAACAAGAAGGAGAATGCGTACAACACCCAAGTCACAGCCACATTCTCCAAAAACCTCTTCTACGCCTTCATCATTCCTCCAGTATGCATCAGCCTCTTTGCTTTTTAGGATGACACATACACATGCACTATAGGAGGACTATTTTGTTATTTATCAGTAAGCATTCCCTAACATTATGTTTCATTTCAGAGTGATGGAACAGAGGTGAAGTGCACCTCCACCAAAGAGTCTCTTACCCTCTTATGCAAGGTGGGATACCCAGCTTTAAGGCAGAACCAAGAGGTAAGACCTGACAACAAACAACAAAACAGCCGTCGTGTGTGTAGGTCTATCTCTCTGTCAGCCAGGGTTGTCGTTCCTAAACAATACCCTGTTCCCTGCAGGTGACATTTGGAATCAACTTTGACTTCAACCTGAATCAACTGCAGACCGAAGCCAGTGTGAGCTTTGAAGCTCTAAGGTAGGATCATACAGCACTTGTTTGCTTGTTTGTTACAGTGTATCAACCATAGTTGATCATAAAGTATTCTCTACTAGGACTATGGTTCTTCTTCTGTTGCATGTGCTTATGTCTCCTCTCTACAGTGACAGCACAGAGGTGAACCCGTCAGACAACAAAGCCTCTATCTCCATCCCTGTCCACTACGACTCAGAGATCTCCCTCTCCAGGGAAGCAAATCTCAATTTCTATGTGGTTGACATGGACAATGAAGTGAATACTGCAGTTAATACTTTCAATGACATCGGTCCTGAGTTCAAATTCTCTCTGAAGGTAAGAAATCATGCACCCAGCTACACAGTCATTTGAGTACTTTACAGTGTACACTGGTTTGCCAGTCTGTGGTAAAATACTTCCCCCTTTTTTTTATTTCACCTTTATTTAACAAGTTCTCATTTACAACTGCGACCTGGCCCAAGATAAAGCAAAGCAGTGCGATAAAAACAACAACAACACAGTTACATATGGAATAAACAAAAACAAAACGTACAGTCAATAACACAATAGAAAATCTATATACAGTGTGTGCAAATGTAGTAAGTTATGGAGGTAAGGCAATAAATAGGCCATAGTGCAAAATAATTACAATTTAGTATTAACACTGGAGTAATAGATGTGCAGAAGATGATGTGCAAATAGAGATACTGGGGTGCAAATGAGCAAAATAAATAACAATGTAAATAACAATATGGGGATGAGGTAGTTGGGTGGTTTAATTACAGATGGGTTGTGTACAGGTGCAGTGATCGGTAAGCTGCTCTGACAACTGATGCTTAAAGTTAGTGAGGGAGATAAGTGTCTCCAGCTTCAGAGATTTTTGCAGTTCATTCCAGTCATTTGCAGCAGAGAACTGGAAGGAATGGCGGCCAAAGGAGGTGTTGGCTTTGGGGATGACCAGTGAGATTTACCTGCTGGAACGCATACTACGGGTGGGTGTTGCTATGGTGACCAATGATCTAAGATAAGGCGGGGATTTGCATAGAAGTGATTTATAGATGACCTGGAGCCAGAGGGTTTGGCGACGAATATGTAGTGAGAGCCAGCCAACGAGAGCGTACAGGTCACAATGGTGGGTAGTATATGGGGCTTTGGTGACAAAACGGATGGCACTGTGATAGACTACATCCAATTTGTGGTATAAATGGTAAGAGAAGTGTGATGCATCAATTATAAGTGTTTAATCTTCTCTTTAGGTTTCTACAGGGAACTTCCCAGTCAGTCTGGCCTACCTCACAGTCTCATTGCCCAGCGCTACAGCAGGAGGGAACCCATTGCTGTATGTGACTGGAGTCAAAACGGCACCTGTGAGTATAAATAACCAGTCAACCTGTCTTGTCTCCAAATAACTAGCTTTGGCAGAGTTTGTGCCCTCTTATTCTGTGTCAATAGTCTTCGCTGCCAGATCCAGTGCCAATGTTGTTTTGGAATACAGCGGGGTAGTGTTCAGGAGGGAGAAAACAGAGTGAAACAGTGCAACGAGGGGCTCTATTCAATCCGTAGTGCTGAAGTTCTGCTTTATAGCGCGATTGACAATTAAAGGCAACGTTCCCGCGGTCGGAGACTGCATTCCCAGTAAACGCTGCATATTTCAGCTCAATCGGAAATTACCTTTACATTTGAACGTGTATCTTCCGCGATACTTCAGTGATACGGATTGAATCCAGCCCGAGGACATACCACCTGACCAATAAAAATACAAATGTTGTTGCTGTTCTGCAGGCTGGCGAAGTGAGCTGTGAAGTAACCAGCCTCGTCAACCCTCTGAAGATCAGTGAGAAGCCTTACACAGCATCCTTCTCCATGGAGAACCTTATGGGCACAGAGGATCTGGTGCGTGTGTGTGCTTGTGTGTTTGTGTGCAGCATGCCTGTGTGCGTGTGTATTTGACAGAGAGAGACAAAGATAGAGTCACAGTTTATATCTAATGATCTCCGAATACATCTATTGTTTTCTGATATTTCCAGAACTGTAAGACAGCCACGTGCCAGCCTATGAAATGTGTCCTGAAAGACATGGGGATAAAGAGCGATTTCTTTGTGAACGTGACCACACGGATATGGAACGGTACCTTTTCTGCTGTAAGTATAGAAGTATACACATTCTCCTACTCCTCATTCTTTACATGCTTGCTTCCAGTGGTGTAAAGTACTTAAGTGAAAGTACTTTAAAGTACTACTTAAGTCGTTTTTTGGGGTATCTGTATTTTACTTTACTATTTATATTTTGGACTACTTTTACTTTTACTTCACTACATTCCTAAAGAAAATGATGTACTTTTTACTCCATACCTTTTCCCTGACACCCAAAAGTACTGGTTACATTTTGAATGCTTCGCAGGACAGAAAATTGTCAAATTCACACACTTATCAAGCGCACATCCCTGGTCATCCCTACTGCCTCTGATCTGGTGGACTCACTAAACATAAATGCTTTGTTTTTAAATTATGTCTAAGTGTTGGCTTGTGCCACTGGCTATCCGTACATTTAAAAAATAAGAAAATTGTGCCGTCTGGTTTGCTCAATATAAGGAATTTTAAATTATTCGTACTTTATCTTTTACTTTTGATACTTAAGTATATTTTAGCAACAACATTTACTTCTGATACTTAAATATATTTAAACCAAATACTTTTAGACTTTTACTCAAGTAGTATTTTATTGGGTGACTTTGACTTTTACTTGAGTCATTTTCTATTAAGGTATCTTTACTTTTACTCAAGTATGAGAATTGAGGACTTTTTCCACCACTGCTTGCTTCTCCTCCTCTTGAATTGTGTCTTCTCATTACCTCATTAATTCTCCTCTTGTGTTGTCTCTGAGCAGTCATCCTTCCAGTCCACGGTGCTGACTGTGAGCACAGAGATAGAGACCTCCCAACCTGAACTGCTGGTCATCTCTCACAAGCACCTGAAGGTACTGGAATAATACATCAAATACATTTGAATACAGCCTAATCTAATATATTTGAAACCGAGAGAGAAGCTGTGAAAGGTGCCTTGTTTGTTGTTTTCTACAAGTTAACATCTACACTGCCCTCTTCTGGATCTAGGATGAACAGCATATTAACAGCTACACTACTTGTATTGCCTGACCGCTGGTAAGTGTGATACATCCCCTGTCTCTGGACCCCTGTCCTCTGTCTCCTGTCCTGTCTGCAGGTTGGCGTCACCATCAGTAAACCAGGGGTGAAAGGAGAGGTGCCTGTAGGCGTTATTGCGGGCAGTGTGATTGGAGGCCTGCTTCTATTGGCTCTCGTTATTGGCCTGCTTTGGAAGGTATGTGCCAGCCTTTTGTCTACTTTACTGCTGTAAAACTCTCTTAAAACAGTAGATGCTCTGAGCTTATCCTACCAAGACCAATAAATACTCCCATGTCATCTCTTATGTCTGTGTGCATCTCTCTCCCTCTCTCTCTCCCTCTCTATGTCTCTCTCTTCCTCTCTCTGTCTCTCTCTGTCTCTCTCTTCCTCTCTCTGTCTCTCTCCCTCTCTCTCTGTCTCTCTCTCCCTCCCGCTCTGTCTCTCTCTCCCTCTCTCTCTGTCTCTCTCTCCATCTCTCTGTCTCTCTCTTCCTCTCTGTCTGTCTGTCTCTCTCTCTCTGTCTCTCTCTCTCTTTCTCTCTGTCTCTCTCTGTCTCTCTCTTTCTCTCTCTTCCTCTCCCCCAGTTTGGCTTCTTCCAGAGAAAGTACAAGCAGCTGATGAAGAACACTGAGGAGGATGAGGCAGAGACCGAGGGACTGGAGAACGCAGCAGCGTGAGAACCAGGCACAGGAAAGAACCCATCTTGAAAACTACAATGTGCCTACAGACTGAGAACACATAATGACCAAAGACCACAACCACACACAAACAATAACTGAACAAACATGAATTGTACATACATATTGAACCAAGGGCTTGTTAGTGGAAAGGGCTGTCTGGTTGGGTTGGTGGCTTTAACATGGTTTGGGTTGTGGAGTGAACAGGAGTGTTTTGAGTGAGCAGAAAGACATTGTTTGAGCATGTTAGAGAGTGTGACTCAAGGCTTTCAGGACCAACGAGACAACAGCTTTTATGAGTGGAGGAGTCATGATCCTCTAACCATCAAACACATCTAAACAAAGACCCCATTATGTCCGCCATCTTGGATCCTCCATAGGAAAGTCATTAATCGACTGTGCATTTTTACTTGCTGAATTCACTTGGGTACTGGTATTTATTTTTATTTGTGTTTAAATAACTGTTGCTTTTAAGTCATAGGCTTAAGTCTATTGTTGGGTAAGAATCTTGTGTATAGTAATTTGTCATATCTATTGATGTTACTGTGCAATTTACTGTGCAATTGGTTGGAAAGCACAGTAGTATATTGTAAATAGCCTTTCAAATGGATATGGAAAATAGCTTACGCATAAGAGATTATGGAAAATCAGCATGGTTATCATATGTTGGCATTTGGCATTCTCAGTGCTTTACTTTGCAATGGGAGGGGTTTGACATATTGATGCTGAGGCATCCTTTTTTATTTGTGAAAGAAAAATGTACTTAAAAAGATCAACATTTTAACAGAACATCCACAACCCATCTTTCCTACTTTCACTGTTGCACTTCCTGCCTCTGAGTATCTCAGTCACTGTTTTATAGAGACAACACTGTATAGTTACCCCAGCCATACAACTGTCTTGGGAAAAACTGTGAAGACACTGTCTTTAGAATATACACTGTGTTCAAATCAGATTAATGTAAAAATTGATTTATTGGACTATTTGTACAAATGTTATGCTATCAGAGAAAAAGGCAGTTATTGAATGTGTATAAAATGAGAATATTTATTGTGTGATTTCAATATTAAATGTGTATCATTCAGATACATTATCATCAATTAAAAATGTGTTTCTTATTCCCTACATAGCTAGTATAAATATAATATTAGAAGCACTTACTGGTTAATTAGTTTATTTGTAAAGTTACTATATCATGATTGAGAGAAATGAGAAGCTCGGTGTAAGATACGCACAGTAGCAAAGACTAAACTCTGAGAGAATGTTTATGAGAAAAAGTTTGCAGATACATTTCTAGATATATTTTCAATGGGTACATGCCACTTCTTTCATTAAAATGTTATAGCATTCAAAAGTTTTTAAGTGTTGTAAATATACTGACAGTACATTTTATTTCATTAAAACCTTACGTACATAAAGGTGTGACTGACTTTATTTTTGTATTGTTAGGGACAGCTTTAGATACTGATACAGTGTGTGTGACCTAATATTTGGCATAGAAAAGCTCCTAGATGAGGTTAGAGGTCAACTCTGTTATGTCCACTGGCACTCTTTGTTCTCTTTCCAACAGGACTCGTCAGCTTCATACACCTCCTACCAAAGACAGAAAACATCCCCCAGCATTAGCTTCCTGTGGAACTAATGCACTAATTCAAACTGTGTCCTCTTCAGACAGGCTCTGCAGCCATGTGACTGAGTCACTTGACAATAATTAGTTTAGTTGTGGAAGTTCACACAACTCTTACTTAAAGGGAAACTTTGGGATTTTGGCAGTGAAGTATAGTAATTACATGGTTACTGCACAGGTATATGAGCAACTTAATTTAAATCGTTACAACGCTGTATGTATGGGTTACAATTGTAGTACAGAATGGTCACAAGAATAGGTAATATTAAAGGGATACCAGATTTGCAATGAAGTTATCACTTCCCACAGAGACTCATAGTGTAGCCATTTACAAGACATAGGGTAATCATTAAAGGGATACTTCAGGATTTTGGCAATGAACCCCGTATCTACTTCCCAAGAGTCAGATGAACTCATGGATACCATTTTTATATCTCTGCATCCAGTATGGAGGAAGTTAGAGGTCGTTTTGCGAGCAAATGCTAACAAGTGTTAGCGCAATGACTGGAAGCCTATGGTATCTACTAGCATGCTAGCAGTTACCATAGACTTCCAGTCATTGTGCTAACACTAGTTAGCAATTGCGCTAACGCAAGTTAACAACTTCCTTCAAACTGCACACCGAGACATAAAAATGGTATACACAAGTTCATCGGAAAGTAGATAAAGGGCTTCATTGCCAAAATCCTGAAGTATCCCTTTAATGATTACCCTATGTCTTGTGACCATTCTGTACTACATTGTACCCATACATACATTTTGTAAAGACTTTAAATGAAGTTGATTTTAAACCTGTGCAGTAACAATGTAATGACTACAGTAACAACATTGTATTAATGTAGCATTTCAGTAATAAGAATAGGCAACCTTCTCTAACTACATGATCAGGCTCTGCATACCTTCTTCCATATGGGAACGGTGGCTTTCAGGGTGTCTATACAGTACTGCACTGCCTCCAGAGAGTCCCCTTCGGTGAGGAGATGAGATGCCGATGATCACACTGGCCTCAGTCACAGGCACCACCCTAGAAAACAGAAGAAGAAACATCTTATAGCATAGTTATCCTATAGTTAGTGTTACAGTTCCCCGCCCATCGTCTGACATACAGTAGTAACTAAGTAGTTGTTTGTTAGTTAGTTAGTTAGTTAGTTAGTTAGTTAGTTAGTTAGGTAGGTAGGTAGGTAGGTAGGTAGGTAGGTAGGTAGGTAGGTAGGTAGGTAGTTTGTTTGTTTACCAGGAATGAGACAGTGAGGGATTTGTGAAGCTCACCCCAGTCGATGATGAACACAGATGTGCCTGACAGTCGGCCATCTTGCCCTGATGTCAGTGTATATCTTCCTGAGTTCTGATTCGGCCATGGGGACGTAGGCTTCATACTCCAGCTGCACCACCTTCATCCCCTCGAAACTGTTCCTCGTCGTCCCTGAAATAACGAATCACAATCATCACTGGCATTATGGCCTCAGCTTGGACTGAACATATGTGCCACAACACTGTGTTAGCCTGCTGAACTAAAATCTAGGCATTCATCGACCCACCTCCATTACACATGTATTTCACAGGTTACTCACTCAATGCTACATGACACCTTACATTGGTCAGTAAAACCATGTGTGTTCTGATAAAACAATAGACATAAAACAGTAGTTGAACTGAGTTGTGTATAGTCCATACCCACCTATGAAGATGGAGATGGCTCCACAGGAGGGGCAGGTGACAGAGTCTGACACTGTGTCCACAGAGAGTTTGTCATGTGTCAGTTTAATCAGATCCCTGGGATCCCCTTCCCCCTCAGCCATCTGGGTTAGGAATGAGGGATGAGGAATCTGAAAGAAGCAGACATATGACATTCAATTGAAATTGGTGGAGATTGGGAAAAAGTATAATTTACTGCTGGGGACAAAAATCTGCATTTAAAGGCAAAGTAATTCAAAAGGTCAATACTGCATTTGCAATATTATTTTGTCTTCCATGATTAAGAGAGTTAATGTTAATTCATTTTTCACCTGATTTTTTTTTTTTATCCTCCACTCAATGGCGGAATGACAGCAACCTCATCCCCCTCCCTAAGGCTCACGCACTGGTCCCCAAGGGCCACGTACTCCTGTCGCACAGCCAAAACAACTGAATCACGCACAGCAGATAGTCTGGGGAATAAAGACAATACATTACATCAACAAAGTAATGAGTTAAATGACTAAGAAATCTTCTAATTTAACTTGTAGGGTCTCGTATTTACCTGGGGTGTCTGCTGACAAGGTCTTGCCACAGCTCGAGGGTCGTCAGTTCTGAGGGGACCCTGATCGTCTCCGATTTGAGTCCCGTCAGCTCGGCACTTTTGGCGAAATAGAACACTGACACCTATTGTAAATGTAAAAACACACATCAATTGTTGTAGGCCTACTTTTGACAGATATGAAGACACCGACAGTTCAGATCAATATTGAAATAATTCTGCAGCCCACTTGTTTTCTTTTGGCAAATACAAACTCTTGAACCGCCAACTGCGCTTACCTCGGTATTCATTAATTAAGTTGTATCCGCAACATTGATAAACGAATGTAGGCTACTATGTTTCTGCTGCTGGACTCCAGACCCGTAGACTACCAAGGGAGAATCTCAATTGTATCCTCCTGGCATCCTCTCTCCTCGCCTCCTTCTCAAAACCCATTGGATGAGATAGCAATAAGTCCCGTCCCTTTGACCTTCTTCTCCAATGGGTTTTGAGAAGGAGGCGAGGAGCGAGACCACGAGGTAAATACAATTGAGATTCTACCATGCATATTTACTTTACACTCGCTCCTCCTAGCAGTCAGCTGACTGGTAGGCAGGAAATAGGAGGCGTGGACTTTCACTCCAAAAGTAACAGACAGGCCACCAGATGTCCCCATAACACATTACAAATGTAGGCTAGACTCAAATAAACTGAAATGATGCCATAATCTAAATCTAAAACCACATTTTCCCCCCTATCATTCACAGCTGTTATACCATGCTCTCTACTTATTCTATGTCTCTGTGGTATTGCTATTTGAGGATTAGCCTATGTAAACTAGGACTAATATGTATCGGTTGCAAAAGGATATAAATGTCAAATTAACTATTTAAAGGGAAAATCTGCAGTTGCTATATACATTTTTGGACTTTGGATAGATTAATGATATGTACCAATTGATACTTGAAGAATATAAATTATAAATGCCTCATGAGCTTAGTTCAACTGTCGTACCCCATCAGAACCCACAATATAAGCGTGTTTTACTCCAATGTTTGTAAACAAAGTAAATGTAAACAAACACTATATAGCCTCAAAATATGATTAAAACTATAAATTCGATATCATGGATGGTAAGTCCGGGCATCCATAGCAGCTGTCTCTGAATTTGAGAGTGGTTACTTTTCTCCAGCCCCATAGAAATGTAAAGGTGATTTCTGATTGAGAAGAGATTCTCCAGCGTTTACCTTGAATGAAACGCGAGATGCCACCTGTTGACGGGTTGAGACATATGGGGAAGACCCATATACTAGAAACACTAAGGCTGTTCAGCAGGCAGCTAAGCCTTGGGTAACAAATTATGTTTATCTTCAAAAGCCACTTTGGAGACGGGATTGGACAGACTATATTTACATATTTGACCCCAGCGAGTGAGGGTCAAACAACTGTCCCAATCTATTATTGGAATGGTGGTATTCCAACAGCTATTATTATCATATGTTAGTAGGCTATCTATCCACACTGCAATGGAGCACTTTAAAAGATGAACGCATCAAAACTGAGGAACTGAGGCCACAGCCTATGCATTGGCATACTAGCCCACTGGAAAAAATGTAAATAATGCACATCTCAGTAACTCTTGTGTATTTGAATTTTTCGCTTGACAAGAAATCACTCTTGTAATAAATATTTTTGCATCAAATTAATTTCAATGACAATTTTAAACAGCTGGTAGTATGACATTTTACTCAACACATTTTTTGAGCAAACAACAGCAAATGAGCTGTGAAACATATCAATCATATGTTGTTCCAGTAGCTGTACAGTTCATGACACAGGTAGCCTACAATTTATGAAATCTGAATAAAAGGTGTGAGTCCCACCATAAAGCCTGAGCGTTTTGGACTTCTAACCCCTTTTAAACATTGTGTGTTTGAGCTACAGACTTCCGGGTTGTATCATTGGATTGTTCTATTTCTTCTACATCTGTAGATACCAACCATTAGTCTGTGTGATTAGTGGGAGATACCATCCATTAGTCTGTGTGATTGACAGGGGCTGAGCTAGAGCAGTGTTTGAGAGACAAGGGTGGATCCCGAAAGGGCCCCTGGCTTGGTCTTTTTACAAAAATATCTGTAGAGTGCGAATGGTTTGAGCTACAAACTATTCTAATCTATTTATGAAAAGCTGAGACTCTCACTAACACATGTTTTGCTCTATGGTGCTACACAAGCGTGATCAGAAGTTAAGGGGTTCTTCTACATAGAAGATCATAGGAAATCCCAGGACATAATGTTTATAATACTGTAATAAGATTACATAGTTGCTATCACAAAATCCAAACTCCACACAGTGGATATTCATTTCCCAGTGAGCAAGCAATTTCTGTACACACAGCATTAATATAAATTCATCTTTATCAGGTTTTTGCTTTGGCGGACCTTCTTTTTTTATTGACACTTGTAAAGCTCATGAATGCAACTATTTATATCAAATCGTTTTGTGTTCTACTTGTAGCCATGGTTGTCCTGAAAATAAAAAGGTAAAACACTTCATTGTGAGGCTAAAACTAAGGTCTGGACATGCAGATAAATGAAAGTCAGATAAATTAAAAGCCGATTTTTTATCTGTGGTTTCGGGACTGATAGGGTTAATGCCCCCTCTGGTCAACATTGTGGTCTTGCCAATATCTATACACACCACCACCGTCAATACTCCTGACCCAAAGCAGTATTTAATTCACGCTCAATATTGAGTTGGTCTTCAGTAGGCTACCTGATGAAGGGGAAACTATTATAAAATATATATCTCTCTCCACCCCCCACCAATTTGAAGACCGCCCACTTCAGATATTTTGCTAGAGGAGACCCCCTTAAAGATTTAAAAAGAGAGACAGAGTCGGACAGTTTGACAGTCACTCACTGAGGGTTGGCATCGCCTTGCGCACAGACACAACTTCTCCGCTGCGCGTCTAGTCGCTCACGCCAGTCCGCCTTCTGTCCTCATGTTTAGGATGCTACAAACACCGCAGCTCCGCCAAGGCTTGATTGCGCTTTTCATGTGGTTCACTCACTTTATGGAGGACCACAAAGTCCAGGGTGAGTATGCTATGATTAATTATGTGATGTGGCATAACTTTTTAAGGTCAAGTTGTAGGCGACATTTGTAATTGGTTCATCAGTCCATGGGAACATTTAGTGAACCTAGTGAGATACAGTAGTGTCTTATCTCATGCAAAATGGAAAGGCGACTGCATGGGTGTGTAACTTTGAGTTATATCTTTGTGTCTGACTTTCTGGACTGAATTCAGTTGTTATGTACTTTCAAGTTTTTTCCACTTCCAAATTACAAAATGTTCTAAGGAAACGCGGTACCAAGCTCAGTAAATGCATCTTTCATATAGGTCATAAGAACATATGGGTGATTATGTACTTAATGATTGGTGATTGTATCTAAAACTAAATATGCTGGCTCTAATGGAGTTCATCAAAACATGCCATGAATCATAAAATTACGCATAAGTACTCTGAAGAAGGAATCTACACTTAGCTAAACTATTGCATACGGAGATTGGTCAACATGACTCCTTATACCTTTACAAGTGGGTCAATGTCCTACGAGCTGAGCTGAGACAGATGGACTGGTGAGTACCAAGGAGGAGTTACGCGCGGCTCCTCTCGTGCGGCCTTTGGTGAAATCCCGCTGCGTTGGGATTTATTGGTCTTTACGCAATCAGACACATTTGGCACAGCCTGTATTGTAGAACTTCGCTCTAAACACACACACACACACACACACACACACACACACACACACACACACACACACATATATATATATATATCCATTTATGCTTTTTTGTTTAGAGCAAAGTTCCAGGGTGCTATAGGGGAAAATGGGGTATTGTTTATAATAATATAATATGCCATTTAGCAGACGCTTTTATCCAAAGCGACTAGCCTGCTCAAATAATGCTATACTTTACCGTTATACCCGTGATATGAGACGTTAATTGGACATGGACTGTCTCTCTCTAGCCGGTAACTGCTGGTTGCAGCAGGGAAAGAACGGCCGGTGCCAGGTGCTCTACATGTCCGGGATGACCCGGGAGGACTGCTGCCGGAGTGGTCGTCTGGGCACGGCATGGACCGAGGAAGACGTGCCCAACAGCACGCTGTTCCGGTGGATGATCTTCAATGGAGGCGCGCCTAATTGCATACCTTGTAAAGGTGAGTGAAGTGGGTGGTAATGATGAATATCATCATTGCAAGTGGTGCAACATTATTCTGAAACCTGGTGGAACTTTTTGCAAGAAACTCCAACATGTTATAAAGTGTATGGCATGTAATGTTAAATAATTACTCCCACATAGTATCCTGTAATAATGGGTTTTGATAAAGGCATTTGTCCTTATATCAGACGGACCCATTATGCATGATGACCAGTTCCTCCATCCATCGACCCAACCATCCATCCATCCATCCATTTCAGAAACATGCGACAGTGTCGACTGTGGTCCTGGGAAGAGATGCAAGATGAACAAGAGGAACAAGCCTAGGTGTGTGTGTGCTCCGGACTGCTCTAACGTCACAGGGCGGGGGTCCGTCTGTGGGTCTGATGGAAAGTCCTACAGGGACGAGTGCACCATGCTCAGGGCCCGATGCAGAAACCATCCCGACCTGGAGGTGCAGTATCACGGGCGCTGCCGCAGTAAGTCCCTCTCAGGATTAGGATAGCAAAATTCTGGAAATTTTCCCCAAATTCGTACGTTTTCCAGATACAGTATCCCAGTTGTAGCATACCTCCCTGTTTATTCCCTTCTGATTCTGGGAATTATTGGAAACGTTTCAGGAATTTTGCAACCCAGCCAGTTCATTTATACAGGGTCAAATGAGGACATGCTCTCACTTTCAGTGAGGACCTTTGCCAGACTTAGCTTCCATTTCCAGTCTTTTACATATATGTATTATTTTGGAAACAGTTGTCTGACTTGTGAGACTATGCCAGTCTTAGGTTAAAAGACTGTTTGCCCATGTATGGCACAAGGGGCTTACTATACAGTGGGGGGAAAAAAGTATTTAGTTAGCCACCAATTGTGCAAGTTCTCCCACAGGCCTGTAATTTTCATCATAGGTACACGTCAACTATGACAGACAAAATAAGAAAAAAAATTCCAGAAAATCACATTGTAGGATTTTTAATGAATTTATTTGCAAATTATGGTGGAAAATAAGTATTTGGTCAATAACAAAAGTTTCTCAATACTTTGTTATATACCCTTTGTTGGCAATGACACAGGTCAAACGTTTTCTGTAAGTCTTCACAAGGTTTTCACACACTGTTGCTGGTATTTTGGCCCATTCCTCCATGCAGATCTCCTCTAGAGCAGTGATGTTTTGGGGCTGTCGCTGGGCAACACGGACTTTCAACTCCCTCCAAAGATGTTCTATGGGGTTGAGATCTGGAGACTGGCTAGGCCACTCCAGGACCTTGAAATGCTTCTTACGAAGCCACTCCTTCGTTGCCCGGGCGGTGTGTTTGGGATCATTGTCATGCTGAAAGACCCAGCCACGTTTAATCTTCAATGCCCTTGCTGATGGAAGGAGGTTTTCACTCAAAATCTCATGATACATGGCCCCATTCATTCTTTCCTTTACACGGATCAGTTGTCCTGGTCCCTTTGCAGAAAAACAGCCCCAAATAATGATGTTTCCACCCCCATGCTTCACAGTAGGTATGGTGTTCTTTGGATGCAACTCAGCATTCTTTGTCCTCCAAACACGACAAGTTGAGTTTTTACCAAAAAGTTCTATTTTGGTTTCATCTGACCATATGACATTCTCCCAATCCTCTTCTGGATCATCCAAATGCACTCTAGCAAACTTCAGACGGGCCTGGACATGTACTGGCTTAAGCAGGGGGACACGTCTGGCACTGCAGGATTTGAGTCCCTGGCGGCGTAGTGTGTTACTGATGGTAGGCTTTGTTACTTTGGTCCCAGCTCTCTGCAGGTCATTCACTAGGTCCCCCCGTGTGGTTCTGGGATTTTTGCTCACCGTTCTTGTGATCATTTTGACCCCACGGGGTGAGATCTTGCGTGGAGCCCCAGATCGAGGGAGATTATCAGTGGTCTTGTATGTCTTCCATTTCCTAATAATTGCTCCCATAGTTGATTTCTTCAAACCAAGCTGCTTACCTATTGCAGATTCAGTCTTCCCAGCCTGGTGCAGATCTACAATTTTGTTTCTGGTGTCCTTTGACAGCTCTTTGGTCTTGGCCATAGTGGAGTTTGGAGTGTGACTGTTTGAGGTTGTGGACAGGTGTCTTTTATACTGATAACAAGTTCAAACAGGTGCCATTAATACAGGTAACGAGTGGAGGACAGAGGAGCCTCTTAAAGAAGTTGTTACAGGTCTGTGAAAGCCAGAAATCTTGCTTGTTTGTAGGTGACCAAATACCTATTTTCCACCATAATTTGCAAATAAATTCATTAAAAATCCTACAATGTGATTTTCTGGATTTTTTTTTCTCCATTTGTCTGTCATAGTTGACGTGTACCTACGATGACAATTACAGGCCTCTCTCATCTTTTTAAGTGGGAAAACTTGCACAATTGGTGGCTGACTAAATACTTTTTTCCCCCACTGTACTTACTGCTTATGACCTGGAGGCAGTAGACTAGGCATTACTAGGCTCAGTGCCTAAATTGGGCCAGGACTCACTCACTGGAAGACATTACACACACTTCAGGGTGTGTGAGGCTGAGTATCAACTATTGTAGACTGGTGTATCAACCTGATTTACAACACATTATCTGGTGCATGGGCACAGAAACAACTGGTTAAGACAACTTTAGAGTTATGCAGGTCCAAAAAAGACCAGAAGTGTGAGGTGTAGTCTGTCATCTGACTTGGGCAGTATGGAAAGCTTATATATTACTGCAATATAGCAGCAAGGGAAAACAAACATCACATGTGAGTGAATACTCACCTGATGTCACCTGAGATTGGTGAAGTGAAACATTTGAATTGTGTGTAATTGAATGTTTCACATGACATGAACGATGTCACATATGTCAGTCATGCCTGTGTGTGTGTGCGTGTGTCTGTGTGTGTGCGTGTGCGTGTGTGTGTGTGTTTCCATCCACAGAGACATGTCATGGAGTTCGCTGTCCTGGTAGCGCGTCGTGTGTCGTGGACCAGACGAATAACGCCTACTGTGTGACATGTAATCACCAGTGTCCAGAGGTGACGTCACCAGACCAGTACCTGTGTGGGAACGATGGTGTTGTTTACGCCAGTTCCTGCCACCTGAGGAGAGCCACGTGCATCTTGGGAAGGTCCATTGGTGTGGCCTACGAAGGGAAATGCATTGGTAAGTACTGGAGAGTCAATATGTGGAGTTGTATGTAAAGTTGATACATCACTTGTAGAATGGAGTTTCTGTACACTTAGATCGATGAAGATTTGAGTGCTTTGATGTGCCAAGCTTTCGGTCACAAAGACCTTTGTCAGAGCATACTAGAGTAGTAGGCCTGCTGAGCATCAAAAAACATGTCTGTTCTGTCTGTTCAAATTCACACAGACAGGGCACTAGGTCTATTGGCGCCATCACCAGAATCATGCTGTCTGTGTGAGTCAGAAATGAATCTGCGCTGGCCTGGGCCTGTGAGGGAGTGTAATAATAGCGTCTGATGCTCTCTGTGTGTGTCTCCTCTCCAGACGCCAGGTCGTGTGAGGACATTGTGTGCCGGGGAGCAAAGCGTTGTCTGTGGGATGAAGCAAGTGGCCGTGGACGCTGCTCTGTGTGTGACGAGGCGTGTCCGGAAAGTCGCCAAGCCGAGAGTGTGTGCTCCAGCGACAACAACACTTACCCCAGCGAGTGTTCCATGAGGCAGGCCGCCTGTGCTCAGCAGCGCCTCCTGGAGGTCAAACACTCAGGATCCTGCAACTGTAAGTCTACGGTTGTGTCTGAAACGGCACCCAATTCACTATATAGCGCATTACTTTTGACCAGAGCGACGCATCTATTGAGAACTTAGGAGAAAGTGGCTCCTACTCCAATACATGTATTTCCCCAGTCAGTTTACCCAACTGTTTACCCAAAGTTTACCCAAGGTCATCATTGAGGGGCAAATCCTAACTGACACTTAGCCAATTTTCACTTAGTCACATTGACATCAATGCATGACTAAGTTAAAATGTTACTTAAGTGGAAGTTAGGATAAGCCACTGAGGGAAAAGAATGTGGGACCAACTCCAACCCATCCCTCATCCTATTTTCACAATGTGATGTTATGTTAAAGATGTCTTAGTGTGCCTATCACGGCAAAGTCACTTTCACAAAAACAACTTGCTTGTGAAAGTATGATAATGTAGTCTCTATCTCTCTCTGTGGAAGAAATTAGCCTGGGGATGAGGTTAGATACAATGTAAAGGCAAACCTTATGACCGACCACCTCATAAATTGACCGTTATTCTATTGTTCCCGTGATGTTTGGTTCATTCATAACATGGATGAATGTCTCTCAGTGTATCCTTCCTATAATTACCACAATGCCTTGCATTTCTCCTGTAAACAGTAAACAGTAATGTTGCTGTGATTAAATTATTTCAGCATGTGGATTATGAGGACTGGGTTTTGGATGAGTTGCTTTTTGGATGGGGTTTCGACTACATCTGCCTGTGGATGTTTGTTTTGAAGATAAATATTTTTAAAGGGCAAATACCACACCAACAGGGTGGTCCTTTGCAGAAATGGGATAGGTCCCAGTCCCCTGTCTTGTGCATCATCTGAAAGCAGAGTTTCACAATACAGAAATTAAGTTGTATTATATTGTATTGTAAGGATGAGTATATGAGCTCTGTTCTGTTCTCTCTATCTTCAGGTTTAAACCTGGTTTAAACCACTGAGCCAACAGACCCTCATACACCACCACGACCACCACTGCCCTGCCCAGCCCAGCCAACACCCCAGCGTCTCAGCCTCCCAGGACCCAGCTTCTATCATAACCAGAATCACCTTGCTTCATGTCCCATATTCTGGTCCATGGGAGAAGAAGACTGTCAGTGAATCAAGTCAAGGAAAAGAAGCTAAATGTTGCAGTGAGATTCTGTGCTGTTGTTATGTTCACTGATGCAACAGCAAGTGGACCATTTGTTCTTCCATATATTCAGCATCAGACATGGAACTTTGAGGAAAAGGAGGATGAAGAGGAGGATGAAAAGGATCTTCTCAATCAATACGTCCTCCAAAACAGACCGGATGATAAACATTCATAATAGCTGAACAGTGTTTCAGCTCAGCCACAGAATACTGTTCATACTGTACATAAAGTGTATGATTATTTATTGTCCTGGGCGCAGTTTCCCAAAAGCATCTTAAGGCTAGGATCCTATGCTTCTAACGATGAACTTAGCCTTAAGATGCTTTTGGGAAAGCGGACCCAGGAAGAGAAGAGGAACTAAGCAATCGTATATTTCAGAACTTCTGTGTGTTGTTTACTTGTATGTATTTAAATATTTTGTTTATGATTATTTATACATTTACAGTGTCAGTCTGTCTTACTGTATACCCTTTGTCTCTTGCATTTTATCCAAAGAGAAAGTGTATTATTTATTTGAGGTGCAATGCTACCCACATTGATATTCTTCTCATGTAAACTCCTGTAACACATTCTCTATCTGACCTGTACACATCTGCTTGTTGTGGGCAAAGATTTGGATTTTTCCCATCTTCCCGTGTTCCTCCATTGTGAAATGTTGGCTAGCTTGTTGTGTGTGTTCCAGTTTATTTTATTGAGAACTTGTTGCTCACTGATGTATATACCCTAGTGAGAGAAAGACCCTGGTTTTGTTTACAACTCAAAGCTGACCCAAATGGCTTTGTCTAGTTTTTGTTGAACAAAAGTTACCTGTCCTAGTCCTAGTACAGTGCATACTAATACCTTTAGTCAATTGTCGCTTTCCCTTCAGAAATGTAATAGTTTTGTGCATTATGGGGAAGAGGATGGAGAATACTGTGACTGAAACAATGTATGTATTATGTTTTATACAACATTTAAGTAGGTATAATGTCATTATTCATTTTTGAGTTGACAATATTTTTGTTTTTAATATTTCATAATGTGCCATTGATACTCTTGTACACTTTTATTTGCCAATGTCTTTCAGCGCGGTCAATCGTGGAATTCATATCACTCCCTCGGAGCCAAGTAAATGCAACTTACCACACAATGTTCATCACATACAATATATCAAACTTAAGCATGCTGTATTTCCTTCCCACTTTGGGGGATATTCATATGACTTAACTGCTGCGGTAAATGTACTACCTGTTTGTCCAAAACAGAAATCTGTTTTCAGAAGATAACAGCTTCTAAATTTACAGTGGGGATGAATATTGATGAATAAATCTTGGTCTATTTTGTTATATTATGTTGAATAGAGATTCAGTCATAAATATATAGTTTTGTATTTTTTATGTGAATGTTAAATGTACATAATAGCTATGATGATGATATTTGTACAGGGCAGGAGAGTAAAGAATAAAATAATGTTTTTCCCTCAAACGTTTTTGTCCTTTGTCTATCATTTACACACACATTACACAAAGCAAATACCTACCTTTCCTCTCCTGTGTACTCAATCCAGTCCAGTATTCTACATCATCATCAGATTTACAGTAATACAATCTCAGCCAGACAGTCAGTCAGTAATTTTCTCTCCTCAGTGCTCCATGTGCTCCTCCTCAGTCCTCAACTACCTGAGTGTTATCTTGTGCTGAAATACCATATAGACAGATACTGTATTTATGTATTTATCTCTATGTGCAGGATAGGAGTGTGTCACTCAGTCACAGCCATATCTAAACCAGTATAGCACAGCTCAACCACAGCAGAAAAAACTTGTGGCTGAAGCTTGTTTGGCATCGTTTCCACAGCTGTGAGAAAAGCTGACATAGCTTCTGTGCTAAGTTGTTGTGTTTGGTCTGCTCTCTGTATGCGTGTGAGATCGGGGGCATCAGGGTCCAGCAGACATGAACCAGCTCTCCTCCTCTCCATCCCTCTTCCTGCTCTGCCTTGGATCAGAACCTGAGACTCTCATCTAATCACATTTCAGCAGCAGTAAATGCGATACTAATCGTACTGTGTGTGCCTTGACTGGTCCTTGTCTGTCTTTTTTGGAAAATGCTGTCTGGGCCTGGGAGTCCACACTGCTAATATAACAACATTATGGAAATGCTGATGCGACAGTCTGAGCCCAGGCTGAGCTGAGTGGGAGCATTTCCTATGGTGGCATCAGAGGTGAGGTGTACTCTCTCTCCTCTCTCTCCTGTCCTGACCTTGGCATAGCATGAAAGGCAAAACCTGGAAGGTTGCACTGGGAACCAGTGACTCATCACTAAAGTTACGGTCATAGATTATAAAGTCATATAAATGATTATAAACTGATTGATATATGGACTTCTATTTGGATTGTACATACAGTAGATCTTGAATGATGGAAAGGATTGCAGAATGTATGCCTGTTTTTAATAAGAGAAGAGGACATTTTGAGGGAGGGAGGGAGCGAGATAGAGAGGGGGAGAAAGAGAGAGGGGGAGAAAGAGAGGCAGACAGGCAGAGAGAGAGAGAGAGAGAGAGAGAGAGAGAAGAGAGGGAAGTAATGACTCAAAAAAAGGATGTGTTGCTGAAGTTTCATACGAAAAGTGTTAGACAGTAACAGTGCTTGACGGGGTGCTCAAAGTGCTGCCCACACACAATGCCATCTGCCAGAAACTGGGGACCTTTTTGGACTAGAGTCTAGTTAGATGGACCGGATGAGTGTGTTATATGAATCCTTTCCTCTATCCTGTTCACAGACAGACCCCTCTAGCCCTGACAGACAGACCCAACCAGACACGCTATAGACCCCTGCTGAGCTCCTCTTAGGTGTTCAATAGAAACTTGTGAAAATGTGTAGATGTCTGTGGAACAGGACTGTACCAGTCAGTCATAGCAGGTCCTCGCAGGGCAGGGGACTGGCTGGGAGCTGGGAGCACAGCACAGCACACTGTGTACAGTAACACTCATACACTCTGGAATAGGAATGAACTAACATTGGGGATCTATTGAAATTGAAACAGTACAGTCCCACTGGGCACACACTGGTTGAATCTACGTTGTTTCAACGCAATTTGTCGACGTATTGTGAAATGGAATCAATGTGGAAAATACATTGAATTTGAAAAAAAGTCATCAACCATTACTGTTTTCATCTCATTTCAACCAGCGTTGTAAATATTGAAATTAGGGTAAAACTTCAACTTAAATACATTGACTTAACTTGACTAACAGGTTGTTATATCAATCTAATTTCAACTAAGCCAATTCATATTAATAATATACTTTTACCTTTGGATATTGTCTTGTATATGGATGAAGTCACATCGCCATCTCAACCAAAAACTCTAACTTGAAGAATAGGACTAAATCAAATTAAACTTTTATTGAAGTGCATTTAAAGTTTGATTTGATTTAGTGCTATTCTTTAACTACAGTGAAGGAAAAAAGTATTTGATCCCCTGCTGATTTTGTACGTTTGCCCAACTGACAAAGAAATTATCAGTCTATAATTTTAATGGTAGGTTTATTTGAACAGTGAGAGATAGAATAACAACAACAAAAATCCAGAAAAACGCATGTCAAAAATGTTATAAATTGATTTGCATTTTAATGAGGGCAATAAGTATTTGACCCCCTCTCAATCAGAAAGACTTCTGGCTCCCAGGTGTCTTTTATACAGGTAACGAGATGAGATTAGGAGCACACTCTTAAAGGGAGTGCTCCTAATCTCAGTTTGTTACCTGTATAAAAGACACCTGTCCACAGAAGCAATCAATCAATCAGATTCCAAACTCTCCACCATGGCCAAGACCAAAGAGCTCTCCAAGGATGTCAGGGACAAGATTGTAGACCTACATAAGGCTGGAATGGGCTACAAGACCATCGCCAAGCAGCTTGGTGAGAAGGTGACAACAGTTGGTGCGATTATTCGCAAATGGAAGAAACACAAAAGAACTGTCAATCTCCCTCGGCCTGGGGCTCCATGCAAGATCTCACCTCGTGGAGTTGCAATGATCATGAGAACGGTGAGGAATCAGCACAGAACTACACGGGAGGATCTTGTCAATGATCTCAAGGCAGCTGGGACCATAGTCACCAAGAAAACAATTGATAACACACTACGCCGTGAAGGACTGAAATCCTGCAGCGCCCGCAAGGTCCCCCTGCTCAAGAAAGCACATATACATGCCTGTCTGAAGTTTGCCAATGAACATCTGAATGATTCAGAGGAGAACTGGGTGAAAGTGTTGTGGTCAGATGAGACCAAAATCGAGCTCTTTGGCATCATCTCAACTCGCCGTGTTTGGAGGAGGAGGAATGCTGCCTATGACCCCAAGAACACCATCCCCACCGTCAAACATGGAGGTGGAAACATTATGCTTTGGGGGTGTTTTTCTGCTAAGGGGACAGGACAACTTCACCGCATCAAAGGGACGATGGGCGGGGCCATGTACCGTCTAATCTTGGGTGAGAACCTCCTTCCCTCAGCCAGGGCATTGAAAATGGGTCGTAGATGGGTATTCCAGCATGACAATGACCCAAAAACACAAGGCCAAGGCAAAGGAGGGGCTCAAGAAGAAGCACATTAAGGTCCTGGAGTGGCCTAGCCAGTCTCCAGACCTTAATCCAATAGAAAATCTGTGGAGGGAGCTGAAGGTTCGAGTTGCCAAACGTCAGGCTCGAAACCTTAATGACTTGGAGAAGATCTGCAAAGAGGAGTGGGACAAAATCCCTCCTGAGATGTGTGCAAACCTTGTGGCCAACTACAAGAAACATCTGACCTCTGTGATTGCCAACAAGGGTTTTGCCACCAAGTACTAAGTCATGTTTTGCAGAGGGGTCAAATACTTATTTCCCTCATTAAAATGCAAATCAATTTATAACATTTTTGACATGTGTTTTTCTGGATTTTTGTTGTTGTTATTCTGTCTCTCACTGTTCAAATAAACCTACCATTAAAATTATAGACTGATCATTTCTTTGTCAGTGGGCAAACATACAAAATCAGCAGGGGATCAAATACTTTTTTCCCTCACTGTATAATTTTTGGTTGAGATGGAGACGTGAATCCAACATATAAATCATTAATTTGTAAACAAACTGGATATTGAATTACGAACGCAACCAAATATCAACAATTGAAGGAGATGCATCTTTTGCTTGGATAGTGTATATTATGAATAACATACAGTACCAGTCAAAAGTT